AAAATATTGTATAAAACAATTAAACTATGCAATTTATGGACATTTAATCATGCGAATTTTTATGAATTTTTGAGACTTGTTTTAATTTTCTCTTTACTCGCTGAAAATTAGTTCTTAAATGAATAAATTTGTATTGTTCCTTAGTAATATTCGATATGTTACAGTGTACAAATTGAGAAATTGTAATATATTATTTCATGTTTATATGGCACGACAAAAGAAAATGTAACAAAATATAGTTGAAGGAAATCATAATCCTGTAATAAAGACGAATATCAAAAATTATCTTACAATGTTTCAATTCAAAAATTATTCCCCACGTTTACTACATAAATCCATGAAAATATGATGTTCACTTAATTTTTTTAAGCTATCGGCTCCCATTTATTTATATTAATTATTGGAATATTTCCAAATTAAATAACGCATAAATCTTACAGTTTTGAAAATCGCGCCATTTTTATCTACTTCAAATTAGCGCCATTGATCGTAGTGGCAAAATGCTCGAACTGTTAGCCGAAATCGACTGTCGGTAATTTCGTCTAATAGCTTCAGCGTTTTGCCATTACGTCCAGTGGCGCTATTTGGAGGTTTTATGGGTCTAACACAGTGGCGTCATCTGTGTTGAAATACTAAACCCTTAGAATTAATAAATTAACGTTACCATAGAAACAACCCTCCGCCCAAATCATTTCTACATATAGATCAAACCTTCAAATCCAGTAGTTTGAAACACCGCTGATTACCCCCAGGCAGTCAAGGATTCGATGTTGTATAAATTGAAAAGGACAGAAGATTAGAATGATAAACAGTCGTGAATATGCTATAATACCTCCGCCGCCCTTGAAGTTCACTTTAGATGAATGGCACCTTAACAATCGATTTAGGTTTGTACAGTATTTTTAAAAAGAAATTAGAAACTAGTTGTTGTGAAACACATTGTATGTTCTGACACAGTTTTAATTCGCCATTACAAATTATAATTCTGTCGGTAATCTGTATTTCTATAAAAACCTTAATATACTATAAATATTATATTGTTTATCGTGAATCGAATAGATACCGATGTTCCGAAGCTCAACAGGAATTAGCCGATCGGCTTTTGACCGAGTCACAACGCGTCTGCGAAGTAAGTGCAGAAAAAGTAAAAAGCAATAAAGATGAGACCGATCACAGATTGAAGGAGAAACTCGAAGATATTGAGTTTCGCAAAAAGGAACTGCTGCGTATAAGGAAAGACGTTCTTCTCGAGACTGATGCCCTATCGATTTACAAAGAACGCATCATGAACGCACTCTCTTCCGTGAGGAGGAATGCTCTCGTTATTTGTGAGAAATGTCTCATGTTTAGGTAGAATACATTTTGATAAAGAAAATTCATTCGAAAGAATGATATTGTAAAGCCGTAGAGTTTCTATTGCAGAGAGCATAGATTGGGAATCGATTTGGTCCACGACGACGTCGAGAAAGAGCTATTGAAAGAGTGCGAGGTTATCAAAGGAGTTGAAAATCTTCTGGTACGAACACTGGAACAAACCCAAGAGCAGATACGCCGACTCAAAGCGACCCTTTACTATATGGACCACGATCTTGAGGCTAAAGACAACAATCTGCGTGTTGATAAACATAACCTGACCCTTAAAGAGACTAGCTTGAATTTGAGCATTTATCATGGTACTTCGCGGCTTGACCCATCGTATGAATTTTTTTCTTTTCGACTTCGTGTCTTCGTCATTATGATCGAAATTTCTCAATTGTCGTTTGAATGTTGAAGGACGATCGAATTGAACGAGTGGGAGATGCAAACAAATGCGAACATTGTTAACGCTTCGAAGGAAGTAAATAGCGCCAGACCGATGCGTTGCTACATTGACACGATAATAAAACAGGCGGTCTACGACTTGAATCAGCAGAAGGACGCAACCGATAATGCCTTCAAACGGCGGATCGATGAAACGAAAGAAGCAAAAACGAAATTAGAATTACAGCACGCCGAGGTGGGTTCTTTTGAGTTGCGTTATATTATATTATATATTATAATATTTTATACTATTATATTATATATTATAATATTATATTATAATATATTATATTATATATTATATTATTATATTATTATATATTATATAATTATGTATATTATATTATAATGTGACCAAATCCTTCTTGTTTGTATATACATATATGTAGATAATGAGGCAAGCAAGCGAAATGACGCAGAACATCACGCGAATTGAGAAGTCAATAGCGGAAAAAGAATGCTATTTAGCTCTAGCGCATACGAGATTGGGGAATCGATGTCAACGGCCGGGACTAGAACTTACACGAGATTTGGTGGAAACTCAGCTTGTCAAAGAAGTCTACGAGCTACGTGAAGTCGTATCGAAATTACAAGCAACTATGTTCGAGGTTAGCTTAATGAGATACTTTTCAAATTTCCCGCGAAAAGGAAAACGGTTATGCTTTTCGCTGCGCGGGAAAACAATAATGCGCGCCTTCTCTTAAATCACGGCAGATAATAATTTATAATGAAATATTTCAGGCTCAAGCGTCACTTCGCTATCTACTGAAGACGCAAATTCAAATTGAGGAAGATATCAACATTAAAACAAATACCTTAAAAATTGACGAGGTAGACTGTATGACTCTGCGTCTTAGTATGGATTATCACGTATATTAAATTCATTTTCAGGAGTTCTATATCATTTGTATTTTATGAACTTATATATCATATGAACTGATATATCCATAATAAAATTTTACAAATTTACAAAGTACCTGCGACTTTTATACAACCAATAATTAACAATGTCGGTATTTCAGGTCCGACACAAAATTCCATATGGTAATTGATCGAGTGCGATCAAATGTACGCTCAAGTATTTTACCATAGATGGAACTAGCGGTATTTTCTTATGATACTATTCAAATATTAAATAATATCTGAAGACAGATTATAATCGTAAACATTAAGTGCACCGTATCAGTTTGTACAAGTTAAGCAAACAAGATATATCAACGGTAATATATTTATAAGCTGCACAATATTGTTTACATTTCTACCTGCATTGTGCACGCAGAGTGGGGATGTCGTTTTGATCGTAGAGTTAGATTAGAGCTTAGAGTACATGGAGTATATCACGATCACGATACATATACAATAATTGACAGTACACAATTGACAAAAAACATCAGTCATGGCATATCCGGTAATTAACTTCTGCACACTGTAATTATCGATAAAGTACACTTGTTTTCTATGAATAGATAACATTTTCATTCTGTCGTGTTTCATAAATTCAATATATCATATAGTTTTAATAATTATATACGAAGAAATGAATCTACTACATTAACAATTTATTTGTCCTTATTTTTTTTCTTCGTACACTATTTGTGATTAATTATTTAGTCAGCTATGTACGGAGCAACTGATCCTGAAATGCAAGTGGATCCGCAAGTGCAACAGTGGTTTCTAGCTGTTGATAGAGACAATAGTGGAAGAATTACTGCATCAGAATTAAAATGTGCACTGGCAAATGGTCAAGGAGGTACATTTTCGGATACTGCTTGTACTCTAATGATCGGTGAGCTATTAATTCATTATTATGTATTATAGATTAACGATATCATTAAAAGGTATATATACTTCTAATAATTACATTATTTTTACAGGCATGTTTGATAAAGAGAAAAATGGCACTATTGACTTATTTGAATTTCAAGCACTTTACAATTATATCAATGCATGGCTAGGTGTCTTTCGTGGCTTTGATCGAGACAATTCTGGAAATATACAAGAAAATGAATTAAATGCAGCTCTAACACAAATGGGCTATCGGCTTGGTCCAGAATTTATTTCATTTCTCATAAAAAAGAGCGATCCTAGTGGTCATTCTTCTATTACTGTAGATCAGTTTATTGTACTATGTGTCCAAATCCAAAGGTTTACAGGTAAAAAATTCAATAAAATTAGATATATTTGAAATTATGAAAAATATCTTAATTAAAGCATTTGTAATAACAATCTTTAATTTGTTTTGTTATAGATGCCTTTAGAGTTCGAGACACCGACCAAGCAGGGACAATTACTATTGGATTTGAAGATTTTTTGAGTGTTGCACTCAGTTGCAGTGTATAATGCTCAACTTATTTTAGCATAATTAATATATTTAATTTTAATATTTTTATTTTAATCAGAAGCATTCAAACTGCTTGTAGCTTACTGGAGGATTCATTCTCTATAACTTGATTTGTAATTTTAACATATTTAACGAAATATGTAATTATCTATTTTCAAAATATTGGAGAAACATTTTTCAAATATACTTTTATAGATTTTAAAATAGTGCCTACGCTTGTCTCATACAGAAATATCAATGAAATAATTATTTTATTTATCAGCGATGCTGTATTATATTTAAATATACCTCAAAAACTTGTAACAGCTTTATTATTATTGTAATAAAATTTGAAGAAAGTAAAAAATAATTTTAGAAACGAAATATCAACCGAGTGTAGATGGCGCTATTCTCCTATAGTGAATCGTGAATCTGTCCTGCACCCACATTTCAGAAGATTTATTTCGTGTGGAAAAGTGAATTATTCACATATCTTCTATTTAGACAATACATTCTTGTATTTCAAAGTGAAATTAATGAATTACATTTGTGAAATACACGTGTGACATCGTATTTCTACATTTTATTTTTGTTGACCGTTTTTAGCAATGGCATTTAAAAAGTGGCACATATGCATTGTTCTAGAAAAACGATTATGTACTTACACATTTTTAAGCACTAATAATGGGAAGTGGCAAATCGTGAGATGATATTTAAAGATACATGAAACGAAATTTTATAATTGCAGTGATTAATACAATTAAGTGTAAAATTGTCAGAACATGCTTCTAAAAAAGGTATTGTTTAATTCTGAAATTTCTTGGAACCATTATTTACATGTATTTAAATACCTTTGTACTTTATAAACAAATGCTGGTTGGTTTAACTATTTATAAAAGAATAAATGTTGTAGGAAAAAGACAAAGCAATACTTTATGATTATAATTATATAAGTTTTAGGCATTTAATGAAGGAGTGAATAACTTGCACCTCAAATGACAGTAATAAAGTATACAGCTATACCATTTTGAATAAATGACTTCTTAAGCTATACATCACATGACAATTCTTAATTAATCATTGAAAGAACATATTGGTATTTTACATAGTGAAATAACAATGTAGGATAATTTTTTACTTTAAACAGATACTCTGATGGAGTTACAAACGAAGAATCGAATGCATGGAAGTACGATCCATTATTATCCTATGCAAGACAAGCCGAAGAAAGAATTCAAGAATTTGACAGACTAAAAAAAGCAAGACATCTACTTGATGCTATTTTTCTTACAAATGAATTAATTTCTGATGGTTCTGATGTAGAAATATTGAGTCTTGCTAACACTATAATAACAAGATTTAAGGTTTTAGGGGTATTTAATACATCACTAGGTAAGACAAATTGAATACATAATTGTTTATCTTTTCATATGTATATTCTATGAACGATGGATAACCCTTTTAGAAAATACTAGTGAAAATACAAGGATAATGTTGAATTCTTCTCACAGTGGCATATACCATTGTTGTACATTTTGTTCAAGTGGAGGGAAAAAAGAAGTCACCTGTGGTTGTAGAGGAACAATGCCTGGTACTACATGTTTATTGAATAATGCAATAAAGTACTATTCAATATTGTATATGTAATTATATAATTAAAGGTGGATATCAAGGTTGTGGACATGGTCATGTCGGACATCCAGGCGTAAGTCATTGGTCTTGCTGTGGATCAGTTTTGAGACACGGACGTTGCTTGGCACTTCAAAAACATATGCACCAACTGCTAGTTTGATGCTGTTTATTTGGTATTAATTTCATTATACATCTATACATATTTGTATTTAAATTTCCTTTACTAGGGAATTTAACTGTTAAAGGATATTCTAAGGTTTTACAAATATTCAAGAGACTGCCGTGTGCATGTATATCATGCAAAGAAGTTTTTTTATTATTGCAAACAAAAATGAATGATTCTCGTTACCTGATACAAATTACAAATTTTCGATAATTCTTGAAAGCACCAGATGACGCAACTGTACATTTCCAAGAGTATAATTATTCCGTCGGTCACGTTGCCCAATAGTTTGAGCATTTTGTCACTACGTGCATTGACGCTGTACGAACCCCTGAACGGAGCTTCGAAATTTCGCCACAAGGGTCACTACTTGTCACAAATGGCGCTATTTTTAAATTTTTATTTTCAAACAGTAAATAAACTTCTTTTGCATGATATACATGCAGGTAAGCTTCCTGAACATTCCTGTACCTTCAAAATATTCTTTTAGCCCCTCAATTGCCATATTTTTGCCTGTTCTTCATATGTATATAAATTCTTTGCGGTAAAGTGCACCTGTGCCAGTGAGAAAGCTTACTTACAAAAAATTGTTATAAGCTACTATTATAGCAATCTGTGTTATATATTCGATGTGTAAAATTATTAGGAATATTTGAGACCAAGAATTTTGAGTCAATGGTTGCAAAGATATGTACAGTACAGTTCTGATTATCAGGCACTGCCTCTCTGTATATCATTATTTTTGTACATCAGTCTTTATTAAATATACATAGCAATACAAACTGCTATAGAATGGAATGTCATTGCATGTAAAACTTAACATACTATTCCTAAAATAATTTTCTATATCTTATTATGTTGTACCTCAAATGACAGTCTTATAATTATCGCTCTGAACCTTGTAACATCACATGACAATTCATACCTCTACACAATTCCACAGTCTTTAACCTTAAATAAGTATTATGATAACATACCGGTAATCCATAGAAATGAAAGAATCTTTCATTTCTTCGAAGGTACTACTTAATAGCGTATTTCGATCATACTGTGTTAAAAGCACGTTCAAAAGTGCTTTTGCCTTTTGCAATACTGTCGTCAAATATAAAGCAACCCTTCTCCCAGCTCCGGATGCGTTTTCGCTGGCATGGCCGCGATGCTGAGTACTCCACATACATTCTTTACACGTTACCTGAGAGGAAATTACTTATTAATTAACAATGGGGAAAAAAACAAAGTGGTCATCTAGCATAAGACAATAAGATTCATGAACCTGTTGGCACGCAATACAATAAAATCTCAGTGCGTGTGTAGGATGTTTTTGACATAACGTGGTACGTCGCAGTTTAGTAGCTTCCCAAAGCGGTCTTATCTTATGTTTTAATGGCTTGAGTTCCATGGTGACTAGCTGTTGATGTTCCATCCCACATTCCGTACAAAAATTGCGGAGACACGTGGAACACTGGACCGACGCCTGTAAAAATCAAAATTTATAAGAACTAGATTACATCGACTTAAACAGCATTGACTAAAGGAAAAGGACTCTAATGCCTACAACCACTTCATCCGTACAAACATCACAGAGAACTCTATTTGCAAGTCTGCAGCGTATGGCGTCCATGACCAACCGATGTTGAAGAGGATAATGTGGAGGAGGTACCGGAGAACCAACGGTTGGTAATCGAAAATCACATAGGGGACACAATTCATGGAAGTTATTTTTTCGCTCTCGTGAATTGTGGATTTTAATAATTTTCGGGGAATTACAAGAACCTAAAATATATAAGAACACAATAAGAAAATATTCTACTATTAGAGAATAACTAATTGATTTTGCATCACTTACGTTTGTTTAGTAATTCTGAAACACACAACGAACAGATAGGATGTAAGCATGGTAGGAGTCTCGGCTCGTGCATCCTTTTACCGCATCTAGGACAACGGAAGTCTTTATCTTCCCCTGTCTTAAGAGAAGAAAAGATTTCTTCTTGGCTGTAGTCATTACTTATCCGATCCTTTACATTATAAGATAAATCAGAGGAAGGTTGGTACATGGAATTTGTTCCATTCGTATTCCAAGTGATAGGCACTTTTGAAGAAACGTCATAACTAAATAGAAAAAGAAAGGAAACAACTTATTACTGTATATGATATAATTAATTAATATAGTCATTCTTTATGTTAGCTTTTCGATTTCATTGTACTGTTTTGTACGCTCTAATTTTGTAATCACCAAATGATTCATCTTCATGCTCAGAATCGCGCAAGCTCTGTGAACGGAATCAGCGATGGAGGCATCCATCTTTAGAATGTCTGACAATAGTTAAAATTTTGTACACGATGGGGAATGAATGCAACAGTCCCAGAATAGTCAATAGTATATACTAAGTAAATTGAAAATAGTTCTTACCGAACGCTTTTAGCAAAAGCCTGAGGATCTGCGTCAACGACCGGTTGTGTATCAGCCACTTTATTTTTTCGTTTGGGGAATGTGCAATCTTTGTTATTAAATCCGTTGTTCTCGTTCTCCTCATCCATCGACGTTTTCTCACCGCAGCAATTCGTAAATCGATATTTGGAGCATTTGACAAAATCCATAAACACTGTTAAGCTGTCAAAGCTAACACACAATATTATATGAATTAATTATGGATAGGAAAACTAGTCACCCTTTATTTTCAGTACGTCCAAGAGAATGCATACAATTTACAATAATTGTCATTGAAAGCAACTAATAGGAAATGGAATTTGTTTACCGATTTCAAATGTTAGCCCACTATAAAATCGATGTAAAAAGTCAACTTACCAAGTTGAAGAGAATCCTATCTGCCAGCACGCACTGAAATGGTTTTCGACAGACGGTACAAATACCTTTTGCACTACTTCACGTTTACCATAGCGTAATGAGTTAAAAATAACGCAAAGGCAGGCGCATGCGAAGCGAAACGCGACTGTTTTGTACCGAATTCCAAATCCTAGGTATTTGTTATTCGTTACGTGGTTGTGATAGTTACCGAGACCATAAATGAATAAACATTAGCAGGTAATATTAAAATTTCTGTCAGTTATATGGATAACAAATTTTATTACTTATCCATACACGTGTAAAAATAAGATTGATGATATACACATTAAAGAGCAAGTAGTACATACAAAGGATATATGATTAAGGAATGATTGCTATATATAAATACTAATTCCAATACTTTCTAAGGCCGTGAACGAACAAAGTTCGATCATTGTGCTATGATACCGCTCGTGTTTACAAACAGCGGTGCATCTACAAGATAATACAATTAAAAAGCCTCGAATTCAATTGTACAATACAGACAAACTATATATTATCCCGAGACAAAAATAAAATCATTGAACAAAATGCAATGGAGGAAATGAGCCTGTGTTCTCGGTATCCGTGTAACCGGTACTTAAGTACATCAGTTTCAGTTGAACTCTTTTGTACAGATGGCAATTTCATCGGTTGAAGAAATCGTATGGAATCTTGTTAGGTACATACTTAACATTACAGCCTTGTAAGTGACTAGTACTTTACGTTTTGGCCAAACATACACGTCTGTGCGTCGCTTAACGAGATCTTATATTCTATACAGCTCTGAAATAGTAGATTAATTCATGTGATCTAATGCGTAATGCACTGATTAGGTTTTTTAAGACTATTTATTACCTCATGTTTTCACCCTAGAACCCACTTTAACCCTTAGCGGACGAAAGGTGATTCTCGGTCGCCACGGCGTTTCGCGCGGCAGGACGAGTGGTGAGTGAGAGGCGATAATCGGTGTTTTTGTTAGATTTCGTTATCTCCAACCGAGGGGAACGCACTATTGGTTCTTGGAAAGTTTCCTTAGCTATTGTTATTCTTTCATACAAAGTGTGAAAAGATACATTAGATCGGAGATAAGATAAATATTAATTAATAAAAGGTTTTTCTAAGACTGCCGCTCTGATAATGGCTCGAGGATCCGAATTTACGCACTGGCAGATTTAAATACGGGTTATATTTGCGGAATTTTACCTTACTATGGCAGCCTTACAACAGAAACATTGCCAAGATCGGACCACCCAGTATCGACAAGAATCTCCTTACATTTATATGCAATGAGATACTGAATAAAATTCCAGGTACGCAAGGATACCACATTTTTTTTTTTTACCATTTTTAGCTAATAAATTACACAAAATGAAGTGTCATTTGACAGGGACGATACTAACAAATAGAATAGAATTGCCAGATTCAATAAAAAAAACAACTTCCAAAAGGAAAATTCATAGTAGCATACCACAGAAACAATAATGTGATTTCGACGTGGAAAGATAAAAGGATCTTCACGATATTGACAAATTATTACAACGCAGGAATGAGTAACGTTGACCAAATACTCCGGCATAGTGTTCAAACCGTGATTAGAAAACCCAATGCTGTTGTAAATTATACCAAATTCATGAGCGGCGTTGATCTGACAGATTAATATTGTTCAACGTACTGTTTTATGAGAAAGTCCCCGAAGTGGTGGCACAAATTATTTTTCTGGGGACTGGAAATATGTTTAATCAATTCGTACATTTTCTAAAAACATGTAAAAAGGCAGAGAATGAATTTGATCAACAAATTGAGAGGAGATTTTCGTCAACCACGAGATAAATATTCAAGTTCAAGCACAAAGAAAGATTGCAAAGTTTGTTTCAGTTGAAACAAACCAGGGGGAAGACATGAGACGACCTATTTTTGTGATATATGTCCAGATAAACCAAGATCTTGGTCAATCTTGATCAATGTTTTATAAACTATCACACCAAACGAAACTACAAATCATAATTTTTGTAAAATTATATTCATAGAAGTATGAATATAGATAAACTAATGAAATATAACGTTTTCATAAGATAATTTATATGTTGTTGTACCATTTTGTTGTACCATATAAGACACTCGACATATTTGCAAAAATCGTCTCGTCCTGCTACCTGACTCGGCCGAAAAAGTCGTCGTCCGCTAAGGGCTAATAAAACCATTTCGTGATTTACCGTTTCTTGCTTGGCTGTTTTTCGTCTTACGGTGTTCGAATAAAACATCGTCAGAGTCCGTGTCTGATTCAGATAGCACCATTTTATGCGTTGAAACTGCAAAGTAATTGCGCCAAAGTTAATACTATACAATTATTTTCGGTTAGTAGTATTTAAAAATATCGTACAGGTGCTGCTATCGTCTTCCGGTACCGGTTGTAACAGGGAGTATCGGGGGGGTTTTTTCTTAGCACGAAGCGAACGTCGCTTCCCCGTACATATTCTTTGGCATAGGCAAACCAATCCCCACAGTAGACCGACCCAACATACAACCAAAGATAGCAGTGCGATGATCACGTAAAGAATGCTCCAATCTGGAAATNTGCTACCTGACTCGGCCGAAAAAGTCGTCGTCCGCTAAGGGCTAATAAAACCATTTCGTGATTTACCGTTTCTTGCTTGGCTGTTTTTCGTCTTACGGTGTTCGAATAAAACATCGTCAGAGTCCGTGTCTGATTCAGATAGCACCATTTTATGCGTTGAAACTGCAAAGTAATTGCGCCAAAGTTAATACTATACAATTATTTTCGGTTAGTAGTATTTAAAAATATCGTACAGGTGCTGCTATCGTCTTCCGGTACCGGTTGTAACAGGGAGTATCGGGGGGGTTTTTTCTTAGCACGAAGCGAACGTCGCTTCCCCGTACATATTCTTTGGCATAGGCAAACCAATCCCCACAGTAGACCGACCCAACATACAACCAAAGATAGCAGTGCGATGATCACGTAAAGAATGCTCCAATCTGGAAATTTACATTTTTACCATTACTCTAGATTTCAGAAACGTAATTTATTGCTCAATATAGTTCGACTTACCGCAGTTGGAATCACCATTACCAAAATATTTCTGTATTAAATTTTGCATCCAAAATGCTTCACACATACATGCCCTTGTCTCTTGATTGCATACACCATGACCTATAATCATGTTTCCTTTAGATATTTGTTTCAATTAAGATGTTTAAAGTGTTTAAGTACAGTCTACCAACGTACCCGAACAATTATTTTGACACAGAACAGTGTCGATGTTGGCGACAGATAACTGAAGAAGCCCGGAATCTTGTCTTAGTTTTTCCTTCAACCGCTTAACCACTTCCGGTCCCGGCATAGTAGTTTGTCCTCCTTTCTTTGCAACATAAAATACTAGCACTGCTCTGCCAGTATGAGGTTCTGCTCTTAAGTTCTGTACAATAATTGATGCTTCATCTCGCAGTAACATTTGTAACTTTACTACCAATGAATCTTTTTGAGACACTGTGAGCATGTTTGCTCCGATATTTAATGTGAGTTCAACCAAGTGTAATAATTGCGGATCTAGAAAACATAAATATTTACTTAGATTTAATTACAAAACATCAATCTGCAGTTTCCTTTTTCTACACCCACCCGGTTTTACTATAACCGACACAGTGTCTTCGCTACTGAGACCTTGGTCATCCACCACTTTCAATTTAAAAACGTATCTACCTGGGACGATATCAGTTAGCTAAAATTGCATAAATTAGGATGGCGGCGACATTCTATTTATTTTAAATGCAGTTCTAATTAAATATTATTACCATTAAAACCGGTGACTTATCTGTATCTTGAATTATAGTACCAATAGCAAGACTAGAGGAATCTCTTGACCATATCCAATCTTTAATTCTCAAGTCATCAGTTGATTGAGATCCATTAATGATCAATGCACCGATGGGCGCGTTTACAATCTGATCACCTCCCGCGTTTGCTTTAGGAGGCGCATTTTTATCTGTAAAATAAAATTATCTCTATTACATTTGAACCATTCAAATGTGGAAAGAATTAAATAGTAATTCATGCATACTTTGTGTAACTTTTACATTCACGGTATCAGAATCTTTATTTCCGTTATCATCGATTACAGTTAACTTAAACTCATAGTCACCCTTGGTTAATTTTGTTACATTGGTAATTGATTCGTTAACTGCAGAGAATTCTGCATTGCTGGGCCCACTGTTAAACGAGATTCCTTATTATAATGTTATGCTGGAAGACCTAACATCTAAAACTTCAATTTACCTGACTTGTTCCCAATGATATGAGACAATTTTAATATCATCTTTACTTTTGTGACCATCTAGTAGAGTTTTTGTTTCAGGCAGAGCTATCGTTATATCTTCGCCTGCGTCAGCTGTACAAAATAGTATAAAGTAAAACATTTATATCCACATTATAAATACAAGTTCTAAGTCGTATAATTACCCTTGGGTGGTTTATTCGTTGGTGGTTTCACAAACACGTGAACCTCAGCTGTTGAAGACTGCTCGGAATCGTCTGTTACTTTTAGCACAAACGTATACATTCCCTCCTCTAAATTGGACAGTTGTAAGTACGGAGTCCTTGTGTTTTGCATATCCACCGCTTTGTTTTGATCAGAGGGACTTTTTGTCCACTCCCAGCTCGCTATTCCGTGATCGTCTGTGCTTAAGTTACCATTAAGAGTAAGTGTATTCTGAGGTAAGTATATAATTATATCTTGTCCCGCGTTTGCACTAGGTGGATAATCGGTTACTTTCAATACAGTTATGTTAGCGCTAGTAGAATTGGTAATGTGATCAGAATCTTCTACAGTCAACCTGACGAAGTAAACATGTCATTAAGCTGATTAAGTACATTTAACTCATGAAATAGCATACTAACTTAAACGTATAATTGCCAGGAATTAGATTATCTAATTGCAACGTGGGTGTATCGACTAGATTAGGTTGATAACCAATAGGTCCTTGTTGCAATTCCCAGTGATAAGAAATGACCCGGTCGTCATCTTTGCTCGATGACCCGTCTAACACAGCTCCAGTATTCGGTAGTTTTACGACTTGTGAAGCAGGTGAAATTATAGCTATTGGTGCTTGATTTATTCTCTTGGCTGTAAATAATGATAAAATTAGTTATAACTAACATTTTTAACAGCCGATGAATTTTATAACGAGAGGAACCCACGTGGTAGAACGCTGACGTTTGCGTACGCTTCGCCATAAGCATTGGGACTATTTACTGTCACCTTAAATGTATATAAACCCTCGGACAAGTTACTCAATTTAACAGTCATACGATTCTGATCAGTCATAATGCCTGTGTGACTTTCTGGCTGACTTAAAAGGCTCCAGGCATAGTTATAATGCTCATTCTCCTGCTCTGCAGGTACAGTGTATGCAGACAATGTTACTTCATTTTCTGGTAAACGAACTTCCTTTGAAACAGCCGAAACTAACAAACGTTTCACCGGTGGAGTCATTGATGTCCCGGAGTCTTTCAGAATCTGTGGTTTTATCTGCGGTGTTACACTGAGTTCCATTTCTTCATCCGCAACGCACATTCCTACCATAAAACCATATAAATTAATAAATGAAGAATCAACGAAGTGAAACAACTTCTATAAAATAACCACACCTTCCATATTGTGTTTAAAGCCAATGGAACATTGACATATGCCAACATCGGGTTTTTCTGGATCTTTAACACATATTTCATTCTCCAAACAAGTTGCTTGAGTGATACAACTCATACCATTGGACCCACCAAAAAGAATATGATATCTGTCTGCACCATCCATAAGAGGAGGACTAAAAAATATGAGATACACATTAAAAATATTTCTGTAACCGTGGTTGTAAATTTTTCTGAACAATTTCATCCTCACCCAGTATCTTCGTCCATATGTTTCAATAAATCACTCCACATTTCATCTTCCTCTACAGGCTTAACTAAGACCATACTTGGTGGACTTTCACTAGCTAAATCGCCTCTATATAAAGGTAAACATATCTTGGAATTTTCACATTGCAGATGGTAACAAGTACTATTATGCATAAGGGCCACATTGCACTTAGGTTTAGTGCAACAGGCAGCAATGCAATGCTGAAGACCATTCAAGTGTGGCTGACTAGCATATATTCCACTGGACAAATTTCCTCGAGGTGTGTAACTTGTGTACACTGTGGGATATAAACCAGGGCATAATATTTGCCATTTAGTTTCCCAGTCAGAGAAATCACCGATGCAACTACCAAAAAGTAACAAATATAGTCCCACATACAAGATTAACGGCATTGTAACTGAAAAAAAAAGAAAATTAAATGCATAAAACATCTGCTATACAGGGTATCTGATAAGTTTCTATATAAATTTTGTGTGTACTGTATAAATAAAAACAAGACTTCTCATTAGAACAAATTGTAAGCGATTACTTTAATTGCTTTCTTCGTAACTTAATACTTTTAAAATAAGTGTATTATCACTTATAAGTGAATGTAGTGGTATTATGAAAGAAGTGGTGATAAGGATGAATGTTTACAGTGCCGTGGAATCCTACCTGTTTACTCGTACCCGACGATGTGAATGTCGAACGATCAAACGATACCAGGAAATATTTCAGGTTACTTTACGAAACATCTGTCACCTTCTGAATCGGTTCGCTGCCAAACACCGACCGCGGACTGTTCAAGGATCGTTCCGCCGTTATTAATTCCAAATGGTGTGCAGACGTACACGGTACAGGCTTATCATATATTAGCAGCATGTTATTATCAACGCCAGCAGCTAATCAACTATAGGGGCAATTATCATATTTCCTGTTGTACCGGAATAATGAAAGGTCGACTAACGACGATAATATTTCGCACGTCAATGGTAAGTCACTCCGGTAAAAACTATATCGTTAATTGACACTACGCATTAAACACACAAAAACAACTCCATTTGATCGAGTTCTTCACCACGCTACTACCGTTTTGATCAGTTTTGATAACTCACACGCCTGAATCACCTGCGCGTGCTTACTTACGTTCCATTAAAACACAGATGTCGCGCTGGTAAAAATAATCGACAGATAAAATTGAAGGTTTACGAAATTACATACGTTCAACTATATGTTAATCTATACAATACATTTCCACTCTCAATTTTCACGCGTATTATCCCTAAGAAAAAACATTTCTTCTTTCGTTTAAAAAGCGACACGTTCTATGAGCTATATTGATTATGTAAAATAAGCAGCTTGTGGATCTTATTCTGCGAACTGTTGAATAGTAATAGAAAACGTCTTCTTACATTTGTAAGTCTATCGGTCACCTTATTAAAGTCACAGCAACCTTCCGGAAGTTTCTCTCAGGAAAAAAAGAAAGTTAGTGGAAGGTTCAAAAGTTATAAGGAATATTTATGTATCCTTCCTTTTTACGAAGTGGTCGAATCGAAGATAAAGATAACAACTAGATAATTTCAGTGACCACGTAACATTTTCCAGCCCTTTCGATACGACAGATTTTGATACCTGCCGCGCGCGCAGCATAAGATAGTTTATCTGCAACCTGTACTACGAACGACAACATTTCTCATCAATGTGCATTTCTCAGATTTATATTCAAATGATCGAAACATCGAACTGCATTGCATACGTTCGTTGTAATCATTTCTGAGAAGATATTGCCGGTCGGCAATAAATGCCCACGGTATTCAAAGGGCCAAAGAAGTGCGTGCAGTTTTTGCGAAATATTTGAAATTCCAAATTTCCCGCGCCGAGTGCGCGGAGGGTAGTGCTCAGTGGCGACAGTCCCGCCGCTCGCGAACTATTCCAGAACCTGTTTACGGCTGAGCATTCAAACACCGGAAAGAGGTATGGTATGAGCGGGTCCGACGGCTTCGTCGTGGGTGGCCTACGAGCGAACGTAACGTGTGTGTGGTCCGAGCGTTCGTATGCTGGATGCGGCTGTTGCGGGCGTAGAAGATGCAAGACGCTTTGTTCGAACGGACCGGAGAGCTTTCTCCGTGGCAGAATATAATCGGCGTTTGGTCTTGAACAAAGGGCCCAAAGGTACTCTATTTTTATTCCCGGGATGCTTTCGTTGTTTATCCGCGTGACGTATACACGTGACGTTTTGTTTTTAATCGGGGTGATAGTGGTGGAATCTTGCGCGTCGATTTCGAGACCGAATAATGAATTACCATAGGCTAATAGCACCTCGGTGGTCGACGGAGACTGATTTAAAAAGAGGAAAGTGATCGAAATTCTTTTCTTTTCTAGATGACACTTCTGGTGATCTGTTGCTTGTTCATGTTTCACCGAGTGTCGTCGGAATTGACGCATGGTTACGCTGGAAATTCCAACGGTGAAAACACGACATGGAACAGTCTGGAATTAAGTCCCAGACACAGGATCAAGGACTCCAGTTTCCTGCTGGACAGATATCCTATAAGAGAGTTGCCATCTGATCCCTTGAACTGCAGAAGACCTGCAAAATGTGTGGAATTAGAGAAGAACACATGTATGGGTACAAGATTACCATATACCAGAACCACTTTGGAATTGATACCCGAGGACATGACCCAGGATATGATAGAGGTATATAAAAGTAATTTATTAAATTTAAATATATATTGTTTAAGTATATTAAACATAAACATTAAATTCATATTTCTTGTACTTTTCCTTTGGCCAGATTAGGGAATAAACTTATACAAGTACAAAGGTGGCTTTTTCTTGGGTACCCATATACCTGTGGGGCTCAGGTATACAGGGTCCCTATTTAAAGTCACCTCAGGTATATCTGGTTCTTTCATTCATGCAATTTCTATGTCCATGTGATTTATAGTTATTCTGTTCTGTAATGTTTCCTAAAGCAAATTCTGACAGTTACTTATAATTTATTGATGAAATTTCTTACAATCTGTAGTTAACAATACTAGTAGTTAATAATTACTATACTATTACATTATTTAGATTTGTTTGGAATTTTTTTTATCTAATAATTTTATTTCACAGGAAAGATTGCAAGTGTTACAAGCATTAAGGCATATACCAAAGTGTTGGGCAGTTGTTCAGCCTCTGTTGTGCTCAATATTTATGCCAAAATGTACCAATGATACGGTAGACTTGCCCTCTCAAGAGATGTGCAAGATAGTTTCTGGTCCCTGCAGAATTGTATTTAACCAAACAATCTGGCCAAGTTTCATCAAATGTGATAACACAGAACTGTTCCCAAGATTATGCAAAAATGATATTAGAGAGCTAAAGTTTAACATTTCGGGCAAATGTTTGAAGCCTCTGGTCCCGACTGATAATGCACTCGCCATTTTTGAAGGAGTTGAAAGTTGTGGAACACAATGTAATGACCCCTTGTTTACACCCGATGAGCACAAGCAGATACATTCTTTCATTGCTTGGGCTGCAGGGATATGTGGTTCTTTCAACCTGTTCACAGTTGTAAGTATGGCAAAAATAAAGGACTATTCTATGCATAATTCGGTCTCACATATATTCTGTATTATAGATAACGTTTTTGATTGATTGGAGGAGTGCAAACAAGTATCCTGCCTTAGTTATATTCTATATAAATTGTTGTTTTATGATATCCTGTGTTGGTTGGCTCGCTCAATTTATGAATGCGAGCAGAGAAGTGATAGTATGCCGGAAAGATGGAACATTGAGAATGAGTGAGCCCAGGTAAATATGCAATTGTAATTTTTTAAGATCGATAGAGTGAGTTTAAACTAAATTGTCAATATATTTTCAGTGGGGAAAACTTACTATGTGTTGTAGTATTTGTCTTGGTCTATTATTCTCTTATGGCAGCTATGGTATGGTTTGTGATTCTGACATATGCTTGGCACATGAGTTTCCAAGCACTAGGCAAAATTCAAGATAGGATCGACAAGAAGGGCGCATATTTTCATTTAATAGCTTGGTGTTTGCCACTCGTATTAACTGTAACTATCATGGCATTAGGAGAAATAGATGGAAACAGCGTAACTGGTATATGTTTCGTCGGTTACGCTAACCACACGATTAGAGCCTGGTTTCTACTTGGTCCTGTGCTAATAGTTTTATTAGCTGGAGGATATTTCTTATCGAGAGGTATATTCAAGTTTGTATTGATTTATATAAGCCTTCTAGTTTGTACAATCAAAATAATAAGATATATTGATTACATGCGTTCCTAAAGATTTTAATCTGTAAGTATTTTTCTAGTAAGTGCGCAAAATTTGCATCCTATTAATTCATCATGCACAGAAGTAATAGTGTAACATTTTCAGGACTGATTACTTTGATACGATTGAAGATAACCAGCCAAGAAATCATATCCGAAAGGGCAAGCGCTAAAATACGTGAGACCATCGTGCGTATGGGTCTGTTTTCAATTTTCACATTCGCTGCAGTCGTGGTAACATTTTATTGTCACATTTACGAGTTCCAACATTCGTGGCAGTGGCGTCAAAGCTTTAGAAACTATATGATGTAAGAGCAACATTCATGAAGTATGTTGATAACTACAAAAATCAATCACATCAACAATATATTCTTTCTGATTCACAGATGTGCAATAACGACGAAATACTTAGACATTTCTGAATGCAAAATGGAGATCCGTCCGAGTGCAGCTAAAATGCAGCTGCACTTACTCTTACCATTTTTCTCTGGTATTCTTATGTCTTCGTGGGTCTGGACGAGTTCAACCGTGGACACGTGGACCAGATTTCTCAGACGGTATAATTTCGCATTCGACATACATTTTTTGAAGTACTGTTTTGCATGTGCCAATGCTTCCTTTTTAGAACTTTCAATTGTGAGACTGAAGAGCCGATCAGACTGAAGAAACACAAGATAATCGCACAAGCCTTCGCGAAAAGGAAAACTTTCAACAATGCCGGTCGCTTGTCCATCAGCTTCCATAATACTCACGAGGACCCGGTCGGCCTGAATTTCGATCTGAACTCCGTAGCTTCTCAAGACTTTAGCTCGACATGGGCTGCTGCTTTACCGAAATTAGTTACACGTAGATGCGCCCTAGTCGATGGAAAAGGCTCGGTGTCCAGTAATCGCAGGAACTCTGTAGATTCTGAGATCAGTTTCAGCGTACGCCGCGTCTCTGTGGAATCTAGAAGAAACTCCTTGGATTCGCAGATATCCGTGCAAATAGCAGAACTGAAGACAACGCGCAAAGTTGCTAGTACTTCTCGAGGACGACGAGGGAAGCGCCGCCGAGACTTCAGGAAATCGAGATCTGGCAAAGTGGGCCCACTGTTTAGAAGAGGGAGTACCACGTCGCAAGAGAGTCAACTTGGCGCGCAAATATTATCAGCTTTGACCATAGGCGGTGACTCGAGAGTACCTGCGATTCAAGTGCCAAACATGAAGAGACGTTCGGCGATAACCGGCCTGGATGAAAGGGCGCTGAACCCTAAACTATTCGACGGAAAGAACGTGAACACGCTGCTGCCATTCTTATTCCCAGGACATAGCAACAGCGAAGAGATCAGCAGCGAGAAGCAACATCAAGGTGTCATAGGAAAGGACATGGACATCGAAGGAGGCAACATTGAGAAAGATGATCAGGAAGATCAAGATAGCGAGACTGACGATAGTCAGGCGGAAGAGGAGACGAAGATGTTGGAGCCCGAGGAGCCACACGAACGTAGCAAAAGTAAAACTAGCAATAAAAGTTCAAAGAGCTACGAAAGTATTAGAAGAAGCAGGGAAGGTCGCAGGAGTAAATATTTTCTTCAAGATGAGACCATTTTGAAACACCTGTTTCAAGAATCCAATGACATTAAATTGAAGAATGAAAGTGATATAATAGAGGCGTATAAGAAGGCAGGAATGGGAAACCTGGCATCCAGCTTAAACTCATGTTGTCCCGAGTTGACAAGACTCAAGCCGGATGTTCAGACTGCCAATGCTCGGGAAATGGCAACGCAAACGTCGCTTCCGTTAGATATCTTAGAAATGGAGGAGCTGAAACAAAGCATAGACGAGATCATTAACAGTCGGCATTGCAGCTCAAAGGGAACGCAGATCTCACCGCAATTAGGAAAGAGCAAAAACATTGCTGTATAACCGACTTGTTTGATGTAGTTTAAGGAAGTGACTGCAACTAAGTGGTTGTATAAACTGTTCCTCTATTCGATTAGTAGACTTCTCTGTTAACATTTTTTTTTACTTATTTTTACCTGTGGTTACAATGTTTCCTGGAAAACAAATCGAAGTTGTACGATAATTTAAATCAGTGCCAAAATCTCATGATATTCATAGTATTAATTGTTGTTCGCGACTGTATATTTAAAAGTGCAATAGGTATAATTTCACTGTGTAAATAACTCCGACGCAATGGCACATTATTGTTACTTTTATACGTTTTATTACCGACAAATAAGATCTCGACCTAGTAATAAAATAATGCAGAACTTACGACACCGGAAGTATAACGTATCACAACTTTCTTTTCGTTTTTTTTTTTTTTTACACTGAACGATATCAATCTAGCTTTAATATTGCTCTGTACATTACAGTATTTTACAATGTGTACATCCTACAGTACTTAGATTATATACAAATATTTTTTACGAACATTCCGATTTTTCTGTTATTACACCGACCATCTTTTTATTTCAATAATTTATGAAATACATCCTGTGAATTGTACTAGATACGTTCATTAATTCTAGAAAATGGCAACTTTATAAATCTTAAAAGGTAACTCGTAACAGTTCTCTGAATGTTATCTACATATAAATCATTTTAGTATACACTGTTCATCATTGATCTATAAACTTCAAAAATGTGTTCTGACCATCTACTCTCACTTGCAATACCTTTATAAAAACGTTTGAAGCGTACTATGCTCATAGCGTGGCATGAAACGTAATCGGTGATTATTTTCGTAGAAATATTTTAAACCCAAGTTGGAGGATTTATTCCAAGACACCTTTTTCGAGAAAAGTTAAATTAAAAATTTAAAACTAAAACATTTTTTTTCACACTACACATTAAAAATGGTTGCCAGGAGAAACTCTCCAACTTCGTGTAACAATATTTTCCAGTATCCTATTATTATTTTAAGAGATCTCAGTCGTCACGCTATACGTGCCCAACCCTGTTTAATTATAGAAAAGGTCTCTACCCGTTATCGATAATTGATATTCAAGGAAACTATCTCTGCTCTGCCCTAAATTATCCGTGGAAACTGCATACCAACTCGTATCATATGTGGAAAATAATGTCATGCAGTCGTCGCCAGAGTTACAAACGCCTATCGAAAATAACAATTTTTATTCAACTTCGTCTAGAGATAACAAAAAGTATTAACAAACTCTTCGTCCGCTAAGTGTCTTATCCTTGTACACTATACAAAAACGAGGGGTGTAACGGTCGAATTTGATTCTGGCTTTCGTTTTAAAAGGAAGTCTGTCCTCTCCGCACGAGACCGTTGTGGCGTCAATCCCGGAACCTATTCATTTCTCTGTCTGCGAAACGCCGGTCCTCTTGACATCGATCCTCTCACCCTCACCAATCTGGTCGGTCACTTTCGGCTACGTATTTTTTTCCTAAACTCGGTACAAATAGATCCCGGTTTTAATCCCATAGAGAGAAAAATTGCATGCAGAGAATGGTGTCTGTATAATATATGCTTCTCCAAATACGCGGAACACATATGTATAAGTCACACACGTAAATACAGTTCGTTGTTTTTCTGTACCATATGTTCTTCCATTCACGTTTTCCATTCAGTTCTTTCCATGTTTTATTGTCATGATCACGAAGGTCGTCGACCGTACAAAAAATGTAGCCGTCATTAGTGTCGTAACGTACGTATATTTACGCTACAGCCCCTAATTATTAGAACATCGAGTCAGCTTGAGAGCCGTTGCGGGGGCTGGTAATATTTGTTAACATTCTTATAATAATTTCTCGAGTTCTAACGCTCAGGGACGGCAGTGTACGTTCGTGTGACATGTTCTCAATGTTCGCAGTTTATTTACACCGGAACGAATATCAGGCACTGTACAGCGTGTGTAGCGTGTCGAGTTACAATAATTAGTTTTGCCCCTTTGCAGCGCGCGTATGAGACACAAACCACATGAGATCATAACATACATGCTTCAGCAACGCAACCCTCGGCGAGCAATTTTACCAAAAGACCGCATAATTTTCATTCTTTCCTTTGAGCGTATTTCGTTTCCGCTTCCTGTCCTTTATGTTTATGTTTGTTTCTCTTTAAAAAAGTCACGCGCTGTTTCCGCGATGGCATGCACAATGTACGAGTATATTATTGGTATCAAATGACTGATCCGGACAGCGCGCAGGGTATGGGGTGTAGAGAATGTTTTGTCTGGATTTGCTTTATTCACCACCACCTCGGAGAAGATCGGACATGACCGAAGGCAGTAACTAACCACCGGGCGAGGCTACTTGCTCTTGGCATGAGACTTTTGTTGTTTATTGTGTTCGTTACCCCAAACGAAGTTGTCCAACGCCTCCCCGAGGATATACAACATCCCGCTAAACACCACCATCGACACCAAAAACAGCACCCTCACTGGAACCGACATCAATGGCAGCAGAGGATACACCCAGACGCCGCTCTTGTAATGGATCACGTGAACCCTGAAATTTTCATAAATCAGAATCGAATCTACTCTTGCTGGAGGATCGAATACTGCAATGACGTCTTCATACCAAAGTAAATACAAAGAGCCGAAGATCGAAACGGTACTGAGTCCGAAAAGTCGTCGCGGATATTGTTTCGGCGACAGTATCATCTCTATCAACGTCGAGACCAACACCATCGTGTGCATCAAATGGTTCAACCACCATGGGAAATACGGATCAACGGACTTCGGGAACACTAATTCACGGTCTATAGACATCAGACCCCAAAATGTTAGCGACACGAACTGCAACGTAAACGAAATGAAGTAATTGTAAAATTGCACAGCAAAACAAACAATCGCGAGATTGAATGGAATACTCGTTGAACAGAATAATTACCATTGCTATTGGGAAGGCTAACGATGCATACAGAAAGTCCTTGAATTTACGAATCAAGGGCGGTTTTTTAGGATTGACGGCATTCGTGCCGAACCAGTCGTTCAGCATGCAGACAAAGAAAAACAACGCTTGGAGGATCTGAAACAGGCGCATTGATGATAGACATAAAAACGTATCATCGTGTTTTTACAAGTTGTTAGCAAAACATATTATACGGAAACAATTATCTGTTCTACAGCAAGTGATTATCTTTGGCCGACCATTACTTGCATTATCCTGCGAAGAATTTTTATGCCGGCATCGTAGTGATTCGAATATGGTTGTCATAAGAATTAAGACGAAGGACGTATTTGATCTTCTTATTTTAAATGCAAATTAGAAGGATGTTAATTATGCGCGCATACGAGTCAACAGTCAGTGGGAAACCGTGCGTCAAATTTATGGGAACATCACAATTTATACAATGAAATGTTCACTTGCGCATGTCACGGCACGCGCTATAATCTAGGGACGACATTGAGTGGCGCTCAAACAATTGAAGTGATCACTCTTCTTCGAATTATGTGTACAGCTCTCTCGCAACGTGAAGCGATCATTTTCTGATACGAATGTTCATTCGACTGCATCAAGCAATTTTTCCATTTATTGCGGTAGGAATATTAGATCGCCGATTCTCCGCGGGCTGTCTCGTAACTTCAGAAGCCAATTAGCTAATTCGAGTGTGCACAAGATAATGAGAGGCGTTGATTTATGCGGCTCAGGTTTCAATGAAAGTTACTCGAACGCTGTACATCTTCGATTCAAGGACGAGACGGTAACGTGCACACAGTCTTCATTATTTCTTTACGTTTAATTAATTTCTGAGATTGTACATTTACTCGGGTCCCCTAAAACACAACTGATATTCATCACGGCTATATCTAATTGTCCCCAATTTTTCCAATCCTGTGTACGATAATATGGTGTTTTTGTGATTGTTACTTATCGTTACATAACGCTGCGATATAAAGCTTAATAACATCATTCTGCGTTTATTTTATATCGATTATTACGTATCTGTTTCACGTATGAAAAATAACAGTTATATCAAAAATTTTGATTGGAAAAAAATCATCGACAGAAAATTGATTTTTATTCACATAAACGATCATCATTAAATTTTGAAGAAAACTTAAAGATATGTGTTGCGATTGCTAATTAATGGCTATAAATATATAGGCTATAATGGCTATAAATGATTAGATGTTTTTGGTTACCAATAACCATTATAAATGGCGGATATAGTTTTTGGCCACAAACATCCATTACAGATAACAATTGTTTTTTGTTACAAATAATAATTATCGATGACAAGAATATTAATTGGTTACAGATAACCATTGAAATTGACGTAAACGTTATTGCTTATGACTAACTATTACGAATAACCAGAATTATACTATATTCTGTATGAATGATCATTATCGACAACCAAAATAAAATTCTGATCGTCGATAATGATAATTTGTAACGAATACATAATTCTGGTTACGTATAATGAATATCAATAAGCAAAAACTGTTTTCGTCAATTGTAATGATTATCTATAACGAATCATCATTTACGTTATCGATCATTGTTATATTTGTAACCAAAAGCAATCATCAAGATCATTTTAATGGTTAATTACGATCTCTGATTGATCGATTTACTTGTTCGATAATAATTGAAAAAGATAATGTGATTCACCAGTACCTCGAAAAGTTAGTATCCTTTGAATAGATAAGATTCTACAAAATTTGTACGTTTTTCATTGTACGTTATAATACTAACCGCGCCCCAGAATGTTAGAAACTTCCATTTCCCGGCATAGCCGCTGAACATTTTGGAAACCTCTACGGGCACGTGCAGCTCGAAGAAACCGTAATACACCGCGAAACCGAATTGCACAGTCGAGATCGTGTGGAACACGATCAGTAGGCCTTCCCGCATCATTTTACAGGTGTCTGTTATCCGTGGTCTGAAAATGGTTCAACCAGCTCCCATAACAATCGTTGCGCCAATATACGATCGAGTGTCCCGCGCAAAAATCAGAATATCGAATGTCAAATAAAGAAAACGACACGTAGAAATAGATTATAGATTAAATCCCGACTATTTTCATCCGAAATGTTATTTTGATAGATGTTTCTAGCGCAGTTCGTTATCCTGTCGTCGTCTCTTCCCTCCTAACCCGACAATGAGAAAAAAAAAATCGTTGACCGGTTTTTATTCGGTGACTGCAGATTCTTTTTTTTTTCGTTCTCTTTTTCTGAATCTCTCGCTTTCATGACAGTGGAACGTAACTTTCTTCGCGTCGATGTAACGACCAACCGTGAATTCGAAAATCAACTTTTAAATTTAGAATCGTTGTCGCACGCGACCAAACGCACTACCACACTAAAAATAGTCCGATTAGCCGCGCGTTCATTCAACTTTACTCACAATTGTAGATTACATTTATATTTTTTTTTAGTAATTTTTCTGTCTATCGTCTTGATGAGACTGGCGGGTCACTTGATACAGTAACCCAGAATTGTTTATTACCTTTTGATATACTATGTCGTAACTATATTCGTGAATTATGAGACAAATTGTGTATAAAAGAGAATAAATTATATGTAATAATTATAATGTAACTATATTCAATTAGATATAAATTATTATAAAAATATATGCATATCTAATGTACACGTACATATTTTTCAAAATGACCATTGGGCATTTTGTATTAAATAAACATATTATGCGAATATATAATTATAAAGCTGTAATTATTGAAAAAAAATTGTTTTAATGTACGTAACAAATTAGTCGTAAATTACGTAAATAGCACGTAACAGCTTAGACAAGTGCTATGTTATGTACATACTGCAAATTCATACGTGTTTGCCAGTTGTAAACAAAGGTGTCTGGATCGTATCCGCGAGTATTATTAAAATTCTCAATAAATATTATTTTATATATACTTTCGATTCTTTGAACGCAGGAAATTCCATTGTCTTTATTCAAGATATTTACGAATAAATTGGCGAATAAATTTACGACATTGGCGAATAAATAATAGCGCGAAGTCACGCGTTATTCAAATATGCGATTCACACCGAAAACATCAAACAGTTAAAAAAACTCCCTCTCAAATATTAGAGAGATTACATGATCTTAAGTCTTAAGTCTCAAGTTAATAACAGAACACGCTCAAAGTTCACGTTTCACCGACAACCAACACTATTTGTCCTAATAAATCCGTTATCTGATTTTTCATTGATATGCGACCGTTCCACATAACCTCTAGCAATATCTGTATATTATATCTTGGCTGAAAAAATTCCCCGATTCGGATTGTTCATTGAGAAAGCATATTCCAGAAAAAATTAAGAAATCTCTGAAAACGAGAGATGCAGTTTCGCGGCACTGTCTTGTTTACAAAGAAAGAACTTTTTGATAGACAAGCGGCAATATCTTAATCATCGGTTTTATCTATCAGTTTCACTAGAACCCCTATCATTCGTTAGTACACTATATCCACGGATCGAGATACCTTCGTATGAATGGTAACGGAAAAAATTTTATCCCGCGGTTTTGTGACTTTTATTGGATTTGCTGAGGGTTCAACCGATTTATCGATGACACTCCGGCTTTTTTCGGTCACATCTACAGCCTACGACAGAACGATATCGACCGCGACGATGGTCCGCGACTTACTGACGGATCAGCGAAAATACAGCCGGGAGAAAGAGAGAAATAGCCCGGCATGTGCGTGAAGCATGCAAACCGGAAGGGGCCAGAGGAGGCCGACGATACTGCATACGACAGAGAGACAAAGATAACGAGACATTCTATGGGAGGAGGCAAAAATGTGTATACTGAACGGGAGAAGAATTAGTAGTGTGTACGTCCGTGTAAGACCGCGTGACATCATTGCCGCTATGTATTTGTTACCAGCGCAGCGGGGCCACTGGAGCACCAGAGATTTCAATACAATCGGAAAAGTACAACGCCGACGCCTTTAGTTTACTGCTACGCTGCGAGCACGATATTATTTCAAATAGTAAACTGTTATAGTTTAAGCCTGCTTACGACATAGCTCGTTTACCGCGATAAGCTTTTAAACACTAATTTACTCGAAGGATACTGTAAACGATAGTATTGTTTTCCTTTAATTTATGTTTTAATTTAACACTAAACCTACCGCGGTCAAAGTGACCGCTTTCTTATTTTTCAATTCCGAAAAGTTCCGAGACTCTTTCGTGGAAAACGCTTGAATAAGTGATATCATTGGAGCAAGTTTTATGATAAAAACTTTACAAATTCTAAATAAATTCGGTCTTCTCGCTTTTGTGAAGCAGTACATGCCAGTTAGTATTACTGCTTGGTAGGTTTAGTGTTAAACACGAAAACCGTCTTCGCGGTAATAATAACTGGCGCCCACTTATTCATGAAAATGAGAATATCGAATTTATTTAGACGTGGTAAAGTTTTTATTTTAAAACTTGCTCCAATAATATAATTTGTTCAAGCGCGTTTTCCATAAAATGGTTTCTAAAATTTGTAGAACTGAAAAATAAGAGAACGGTCATTTTGACCGCGATAAGTTTAATGTTAAAGGTTTAAAATTCTGTTGCATCTCGTACATAATTAGTGTACTTATTATCGATGCCGAGTCGAAATACAAGTGCACTATTTTCCTGAACTGTGCAATATAGAATTTAAATTTAAATTTGTTTTACGATAGACACAATACCGGCCAGACATACTGCACAGCGTGAAATTGACTTTTAAATTGCTTTGCTGCAATTATTGAATGTACGAGGCTGGACATTCCGGGTTTTCAAAGGGCGTTGACATCGGCAAGTAAATAAATAGGGTACATATATATATAGTACGGCATGGAAATAGGACAGAACAAATGAAGGGACATTGGGGCGTATACGAAATGGATGAGGACCGGATCCAGAAAGAGAAAAAAATAGAGGCTGTGTTCCTCGATCTGCGCGAGCTTGGTGCGCGATGCATTGGTAATGGTTTTTAGATTTGTTATCGTATTTTAATTGAAAAAATGATTCTGGAAACCAGCGTGTCCTCTCATCGTGACGTAAAATATTTGTTAACCCTTGAACCGGGTCTATTTTGACCCAGAGTAATAATTCATTCCGTCGCTCAGTCCCTGGAGACTGGCGAGTAACCGTGTAAATGGGTTCAAGTATCGTTCACTGTGTCGTTATTAGGAAAGTCCATGGTTACGTCTGATCGTCGCACTATTATATCGACAAGCTGCTCCCAACCGGTGCTTTCTAATTAAAATTTAAAAGTTTCGGTCCGTTTTACTTGAACAAGTTGTGCGTTTGCACAGTAAAAAAAAAGGAAGAGATCGAAGATTATAAGCAAACCGTTGCTGCAACACGTTACGTGATCTTCACTGTCCCCTATCACATAACACTTACACCATACAGTTCTTCGAACCAGTCGAAATAGGTATCCCTGACATTTACTTTCGAACTTAACCAATGTATTTTTTGCAATTACAGACACGAAAGATCGGACCTGGATAGCCGAAAATATTTGTTGTAGATCGTCGAGCAAAATTTTCCAGAAGGTTGTGAACATTATAACCGACCACATCGTTCAAACAGAATGGCCATCGACCTTGTTGGAAGTCTAAGCATGTATCTTCATTGAATCACTTAAACCGTCGCTGTTTCTAAGTAGGCGCAAAAGTTACGGCTTAACTAGTTCTAATCTAACAGCTGTAGAGTGCAACGTGCTGTGTTCTCCACTAAAAAAGTAGACGTCCGTAATATGTGAATCGTTATGTAACGTCGACTGAGACTTATTAATAAATACATTGCAGAATANGGAAAAGTACAACGCCGACGCCTTTAGTTTACTGCTACGCTGCGAGCACGATATTATTTCAAATAGTAAACTGTTATAGTTTAAGCCTGCTTACGACATAGCTCGTTTACCGCGATAAGCTTTTAAACACTAATTTACTCGAAGGATACTGTAAACGATAGTATTGTTTTCCTTTAATTTATGTTTTAATTTAACACTAAACCTACCGCGGTCAAAGTGACCGCTTTCTTATTTTTCAATTCCGAAAAGTTCCGAGACTCTTTCGTGGAAAACGCTTGAATAAGTGATATCATTGGAGCAAGTTTTATGATAAAAACTTTACAAATTCTAAATAAATTCGGTCTTCTCGCTTTTGTGAAGCAGTACATGCCAGTTAGTATTACTGCTTGGTAGGTTTAGTGTTAAACACGAAAACCGTCTTCGCGGTAATAATAACTGGCGCCCACTTATTCATGAAAATGAGAATATCGAATTTATTTAGACGTGGTAAAGTTTTTATTTTAAAACTTGCTCCAATAATATAATTTGTTCAAGCGCGTTTTCCATAAAATGGTTTCTAAAATTTGTAGAACTGAAAAATAAGAGAACGGTCATTTTGACCGCGATAAGTTTAATGTTAAAGGTTTAAAATTCTGTTGCATCTCGTACATAATTAGTGTACTTATTATCGATGCCGAGTCGAAATACAAGTGCACTATTTTCCTGAACTGTGCAATATAGAATTTAAATTTAAATTTGTTTTACGATAGACACAATACCGGCCAGACATACTGCACAGCGTGAAATTGACTTTTAAATTGCTTTGCTGCAATTATTGAATGTACGAGGCTGGACATTCCGGGTTTTCAAAGGGCGTTGACATCGGCAAGTAAATAAATAGGGTACATATATATATAGTACGGCATGGAAATAGGACAGAACAAATGAAGGGACATTGGGGCGTATACGAAATGGATGAGGACCGGATCCAGAAAGAGAAAAAAATAGAGGCTGTGTTCCTCGATCTGCGCGAGCTTGGTGCGCGATGCATTGGTAATGGTTTTTAGATTTGTTATCGTATTTTAATTGAAAAAATGATTCTGGAAACCAGCGTGTCCTCTCATCGTGACGTAAAATATTTGTTAACCCTTGAACCGGGTCTATTTTGACCCAGAGTAATAATTCATTCCGTCGCTCAGTCCCTGGAGACTGGCGAGTAACCGTGTAAATGGGTTCAAGTATCGTTCACTGTGTCGTTATTAGGAAAGTCCATGGTTACGTCTGATCGTCGCACTATTATATCGACAAGCTGCTCCCAACCGGTGCTTTCTAATTAAAATTTAAAAGTTTCGGTCCGTTTTACTTGAACAAGTTGTGCGTTTGCACAGTAAAAAAAAAGGAAGAGATCGAAGATTATAAGCAAACCGTTGCTGCAACACGTTACGTGATCTTCACTGTCCCCTATCACATAACACTTACACCATACAGTTCTTCGAACCAGTCGAAATAGGTATCCCTGACATTTACTTTCGAACTTAACCAATGTATTTTTTGCAATTACAGACACGAAAGATCGGACCTGGATAGCCGAAAATATTTGTTGTAGATCGTCGAGCAAAATTTTCCAGAAGGTTGTGAACATTATAACCGACCACATCGTTCAAACAGAATGGCCATCGACCTTGTTGGAAGTCTAAGCATGTATCTTCATTGAATCACTTAAACCGTCGCTGTTTCTAAGTAGGCGCAAAAGTTACGGCTTAACTAGTTCTAATCTAACAGCTGTAGAGTGCAACGTGCTGTGTTCTCCACTAAAAAAGTAGACGTCCGTAATATGTGAATCGTTATGTAACGTCGACTGAGACTTATTAATAAATACATTGCAGAATACTTCCGTTCAATGAAAAAGCATTCGATCAGATTGCTCGCTTCTACAAACTCATTGGAATCGATTGAATCGACAGGTATGTATTGAGATCATCATTCCGATTCAAGTGAATCAAGAATGAGTAAGTATTACGCACCGATTGTTATTCAAACTATAAATAATGTAGTAAGTTGGATATCAAGGCACGCGTGTAAATAACACGTGCTTGTATTAATAACACTATGAAATCCGCTTGACGAGTCGGGTGTCTGTTTGGACATTCCACGTCGAACAAAAAAATAATAACGACCGATACACGAACTGACAAAATTAGTGCGATTATGGAACAAAAAGTTTTCGGGACATTTATCCGTTTAATTTTGAAGAAAATTCGACGTTCTAACATTTATATAATTCAAATCTTCACAGATCGCGCGCAACGAATTTCGTTGTCTTTTACGGCGCCATCTGTCGAAATTTTCTCAAAGGTGCAAACCACGGCGGAAAATACTTCAGCCTTGGTAACGAAATCTTAGCAAAAATACAACAAAGAAACGGTTAAAAAATAACTGACTGAAAATGCATGAGAAGGAACATTTTAAATTCGTATTCACATTTCACAAGCAACGTGTGCGACTGTGAGCCTGTCAATCCCTTTCTCAATTTATAATCTATGTCATCAAGTTACGATGACAGATGCCGGCACAATAACACCAACAATAACAACAACAGATGTATTGTCGTAAAAATTCATCGTAGGATACTGTTTTTCTAGGAGACAATCGACACTTTCACTATAGAATCAAAACATCGTCGGATAGTCGACGCGTGTCGTTTTGAAATTCTCGGAACCTCGGTCCGATCAATGTTAACCGTCAACGCAATTACATTTTGAAATTCGTGAAAGTGCGATACCTCGAGTATTACAGAAATGAACAATTAGCACTCACCACATTCCAGATGGTCATGTATTTCAACATCCCCGGGTCGAACTTTTTGAAGGCGGCCACCACAGACGGTATTCGCATGTAATGCCCTTTGTACACTGTGACCGCATACGTCAAGAACATTGACGTATGAAATATTTGGTTTATCGTGTACGCCATGTCACCGAACCGCTGGAAAACAGATAGGAATTTGTCAAACGGATGCGTCCATTTCAAAGCTGGCCGTCTTTTGCTGAGCTTGCCGCGACTGCTTCTGCAACCCCCCATGTTCTCGCCCCGGTTTTCGGCAATGATGACGTTGTAGGTTAGGTTCAACTGACAATCGGCAATCAATAGCCCGAATGGCTCCCTACCGTCCTACGCAACAATACTTTTCGGACTTTCTGTTAACGTTTCTACAGTACGTAAACTATCCGACCCTTGCGCCGAAAATTCTGAAGTAATTGACCATCCCTGTCGACTCTATACTTTAAATGCACAAACTGTGTTTCATTCGTAATTGCACACTTTCACCCTCATGCAAGATACAATACAGTCTCACAGGGAAATAAAAGGTATTACGGTATTTGAACTTGAAAGTGTATGAATTTATATCCTGGAAAACGTATGAGGGTTGAGATCAGTGTCTAAGATGGTTTTATCAAAGAAATTATTTAACAATTTGTGAACAGTGTCTTTGAATTTGATGATGTTGCTAAAGTGTTGAGCACTTTAACTACCGGAAGCGTGGTAATAGATTTTTCGATGACTGAGCTGTCTTCGAAAGAACCTTGTTCATTCTCTTTCCAATAATAATCTTGAACGAGGACACTAGATTATGTTATTTCAAATAATTGGCTTACGAGCTCAATTGATACTGCTATCTAATCTTTTATTAAACAATTTTGAATTATCTATCTTTGACTTATGACACTATTAAACAACTTCCGGCAGGTGAAAAGCGTAAGAACGTAGCAGGTTCTTTTCGAAATTATCTGCAGCCATTTTAATGTTATAACGATTAATCGAAAAGAAAATATTTTTAATGAATTCATTGAACCGATTTAAAAATTAATTGATTAAACATTTTTTATCGCAAAAATAAATACAATAATGAATAAAAGTATCTGATAAACATAACATTGATTACATATGTTGTGGTCTTTTAAATCAGAGCGACTTTGTCAACAACAAAAATTATTTTCGGCCACGTTGAACTTTGATCAGACGGTTTCTCAACAAAAATTTTATCACTATTGTTTTCGATGCAAGATGACAATTGGGCGCGAACGATAACAAGAAAAATCAGCAATGATTGCACGAACAACATTTTTTCTTTCATTCTACTGCCTATTCGGCCCACGTTTTCTTAGAAATACAAATGTCCTGGCGTCAGTTGGCGATAAATATACAAATTGATTCATTCAAGAGGTTTTATAATCAACGCGACAAAAATATAACTGGTACAGAAACATAACTAAGAATATCCTTTAATCTGCTTTGTAAATTAAAGGTTGCGTCATACATGTGGTAACATCTTTTTAAAGATTTATCGAGATTTATTGATTATCGGTTCTCAGGAATCAAGAAGGTTGCGAAGGAAAGTTATCGCAACAAATATTTACGTTATATTATCATAAAAACATATATATGCTCGTCACGCTTCGAGTTTATAGTAAATTTAATATGAATGTGTGTGGAATGCGAAGGTCCCGTTGATACCCTGACTTTATCTCTGTCGTGAAACACGACACGGGTGATCATTGCACTTATACGTATAATTCGGGTGACAAATTCGATCCTCGAACTCAAGTTTTTTCCAACGATTGTATCATTAACTGTTAAGTAGAGCTAATAAATATTGATTAAAAACGACTGACCTATGTATTGCAGTGGCCATAAATCACGACCATACATTTTTTTCCGAGAGCAAAATTTCCGAGGGTAAATAATTCATTTAGCATCTTCCTAGTCCTATTAGATCAGGCGTGTAACGTGATTTGCTCAAAAGCGTTACCTCTGGAAGTAATATAGGACGCTGTCGCCGGTGCAATCAAGATGCATGAATTACTCCAATTAGTACACTGCGTAAACTTTTACTTCGTCGAAACTTGCAAGATTAAATGTACTTCTTTTTTTCTAAAGAATCGAAGTTATTTTTACCAGTTTCTCGAAGGCGTCATTATTAACAGAATTCAAGACGATAAGCAGGAAACTTTCCTTGAATCGCCGAAATCGTCGCTCGTTTCAACCTAATAAAACGGCTCACCTATGCTAATCGAGTTCAACGTAACGTAACAATCGTCTACGTAACAACTAAGTCTTTTCCTCGATCTCAAGCCGTAGAATAATTACTGTGCAACTAATATTCTCGGGATCTCCAAGAAAACCAGAACCAATCGCTCGGAATTTTCAAACTGTAATAAACGTTTCGCGTCGATTCTTTTTTTAGCTGTTCGCTTCTTTACAATCCTACCACCTGGATAGTCGAGAAATCGAAACGGAACGAGATACGGATCGTGTAATAATCATCGATAGATAACTGAATATAGTTCCTTATCGTCTAACAATTGTCTTTGAACGGCGTCACTTCTATCTTATACGTCGAGGATCAAAGTTTCTACGCACATTGCCAGTTGATAGATCCACTTGTCCGCTGACGTAATTTAATGTCTTGAACGTAACGGTTTTTGCCACACTTACGTCTCTACAATGTACAAAATTCGATACATAAAATGCAGGTATTTGTTACGCTTTTGTTTATCAAGCTTTTAAATGTACTACCAGAAGCCGCAATCGGAAGTATCCGCAGTCTTCGCACATTTTTTCTTGCCAAAGAAAGAATCTAATTGGTAGCCTGCGTGTGTTTCGTTCACAAGGAAAATTACACAATTGTCACAAGCTTCGACCTGGATGCTTACCTAAGAAGACCTCGGACAACAATGGAGAATCCACAGCTTCTTCCGTCTGACAATAGTGTGCCGAGAACGTTGTGCACACACACTGACGATCCGATACACGTGAAACGACCGAAGATGCGTTGAAGATCCACGTCACTTCGGGTACTAACGTACACTTTAGCCTGGAGGCCAGTTGATGCACTGACCAGGCGATCGTGTCATGGCTGGTCTCGATGCGCAATCCAGGCCCCTGATTCGCCGTTATCCGACACTGGTCCCTTTCGCCACGAACTTTTGTAATCTGTTTGTGCCGTGGACATCCTGTTTCGCCACGATACTCTATCGAGATACCCGACAATAAACAGGGCTGTAGTACGGGATAACCTAGGCAACACTACCGACTCAAATTTTGGAAAGAAGATCGAATGGAGCCTTACCTGCAGGCCTCTAATAGGTTTCGGCACAATGCGTTGAGTCCTACTTTTACTTAGAGCAAGTAGTTGGGGCACACAGGTAATTTGGGCACAGGTAGTACTGCGTGAGTCGAAGTAGATTCTAAGTTCTCAGTGAGATTTTTACTTCAACAGTTTCATAATTTATTATTTCGTTTTAATATATTATTTAGCTCGTGAACATGATTAAGAGGCAAAATAAATCTTTATGTCAGTCTTGTTTAATGCCTAGCGAAAGATTCTTATGTAACTTGTTATGTTGATATCCTCACTTAATTATTTGCAGCATTATGTTGTGTCTGCTAGGATCATTCATGAAATTAATACACATATTTAAAATGACGATAAGATAATAAATCTGTGAAGTCATTATTCTAAGAAAAGAATGTTGCAAACGCTGTCCCGAATTCGCGATACTTGCTCAACTCAACAGTTTGATAATGCTATTTTGTATCTACTGCAAGACGGATGCAATTTGTGCGATAGAATTTATCTGCTAACCTTTGACAACGCGATGCTTATTATTTGGAACAATTGTAAATGTAAAAGAGACGGTATCTGGGGAAGATACTAAAAACATGGTTTTCTAAAATTGTAACAATAATCGGAAAAGACGTCATTTACAATAACGTAAATGTCTGTAAGTTAAAGCTACATCCTACAATGAGTAATGCACAACAGCGAATATTAAAGTATTGTCTTCTAATGCTTAAAAACAAATTTTCAAACGATCGTGTAATATCATTACTTTCTAAAAACTGTTTGTTTCATTTTTTATCTTTCTCTTCATATTTTTCTGACATTCAAGTAACCCCGACTAACCGAAGCCAAGCAAAGTTAAAGTCAACCAGGCTGAACGGATCGGGCCCAAACGCACCGGAACGGACCCGAATGGATCAAAACGGACACGAGAGAGCCCTGAGTGAACTGAAGTGAATCCGAGCGAGTCCGAGCGGATCAGAACTAACCGAAGCGAGTAGAATCGAGTTCGAGCAAATTGTAACAGGTCAAAGTGTGGAGAAAATAAAAATAATATTCATATTGCAGAAATTTGATCTCTGCTGTCCAGTTCGAATTTAGTTCCAAAACGCGCCGTTCTCACATCCTAGAGGTCGTTGATATCAGCGATTTTTTTCCACGTCGGTATTACAGATTCTTCGAACGATTAAAATTATTAAACAAGATCCTCCTATACAATATTCTGTTCGTAATGGTATATTTTTATAATATTTTATAAAATACATTTTTAATATCCTATTGGACTATAGGTGTTTTATGTAAAACTGAAATTTGTTGGTATCATTTACAAAGGAACAAGTGTCTAATTAAAATACATCTTTCTTTATTAATTTCAATAAATTGAAAATAATACATATTGATATTTTAAAATAATTTTTACCGATTTAAGTCTGCATATCAATTTTCCTTGAGCACTTTTACCCAGGGAGAAATAAATGTTCTCGTTAGTAAGCGCAGACTCCGTGAGAGGGTTCACGTCAATGTTGAATGGGTGACAGTTTCGAAAGGACAGTTTGGCGCCGAACGTTTTCTATGCGTGGTTTCCTAGGATTGCCTATTGCTTCAGGTCTAATTTTTCCGCGGAGTCGTGCGTCAGTGTCCGCGAATGAGCGACGAGAAATAGCTCCTTTTGGTTTTCATATTCGACGAAGACGCGGTCAAGTTTGATGCCTCGTATGCGGTTACGGTCATCCGATACGATCTACGCTGTTGATGTAGCATAAACAGGTAACTATGCACTGCCAGTATGTACACCGCACATCAGCCAGGGAACGTAACACCTTTTATTGTGATCGACTTTTCGTGGCTGCGGATAATCTCCTGAACCTTGAACGTTCGCCTAATTCTATTCGCATTTTACATAAAAAATCATGATAAACCTTAACTCGGTATCAATTCTTCACAGTGGTCACAACGTGTCTGTCCCAAATTCGCCCTCATGGTTGTCAAAAGGACCAAAATGTTGGCGCACGATTTGTCTTCGTCATTCTCGATAACCATGACTCGTTCAATTGCACCGTCTACTTAAGATTGGTTAATCATAGTGTCTTAATTAGCGAGTCCGAGTTACATGACCTGTAATAACGTCGTTCTCGCGACTTCTTCCGACCGTAATTATTCTTCAAGTCGAAGCAACTATCGCGCACTTTCCATTTCGTCTTTCTGTTTGCATTGTGTCCTGGTAATTTCAAGTCTCCATCAGGGGGGAAGGCAAATCGATCAATGCCCCCAAAATTATTACGCCGCTGTCTTTTGTTGTCACGATTAACATGTATCTGTTTACGATATGCAGATGATGGTCGCTTCCACGGCCAGTAGTTTTATATTCGTTATCACGAATTTTATAGTGGACGACAAACATCATGTCGAGGATATTTCTAACGTTTGAAAAGTAGTTGATACAATCTTAATAGAATCGTACGTTAACCAATGTTCTCAAGGACAACGTGCTTTTACGGGTTACTTTACAACTCTCAAGCTTGTAGTCACGACGATAACGAAAATCATCGCAACGCGATCAAAACCTCGAGAAATGGGTTGCAGCCACCTTTTACGGCGCCGAAAGAAAACCGGTAACTTCTGTCTTTTTCTTCGCCGCTGGCTTCTACCGTTATGTTGCGTAATCTATGGCGGCGTTACCCGAACAGATCTGTTTTCGTCCTTCGACAGAAACAAACGTACCGCAAACAGAAAAGAAACGAATCGGTAACTTGTACGCGATGCAGTTTCAAAACCACGTGATATTTTACAAACTGCTGTGGCGGTTCTTGTAACCGGCGTACGAAATGTAAGGTTATCCAAGATCAACTGTCTCGTTCGAATTTGTACGTAATCGAATCTCCAACAGGAATATACGATAATCTCCTATGATTCATTCGTGGATCGACCGATGCTTTAAATCGGCTGTAAACGTAGTTTCTTGGTTACATCGAATAATGTATGTAGGTTACTTGAAACGTATGCACTCCGGCGCGAGTAACTATGGATTACGTCGCTTAATCTAAACCGCGATATCGTTACAACGAGTCCTTGACGGAATCGATCGACGACGGTAGAATTGGATGGTTTCGCGCCATAAAACAAGATTTCATTCCTAGAGCCTACACACAGTTGCGTATCAATCGACGAGTTGTTCGATAGATTGTATAACGTGTAGTGTCTGACTTAACATGTATAGTTAACGATAATCAGCATAGACATCCTATCTAATGCCTAAGAACTTATGAAACAGAAACGGAAAAGCGAAATCGCCGGGAGAATTCGGGACACCAAGATACGGCCCTGCCGGAATACATTAGTTTCCGTAAATATGTTGCAACAGCCGTCGATTATTAGCATTCTATTAATACACGTTACAATGCAGTTCGTCGCGGTCATGACAAAACTATCGGCAACAAAATTTCAATATCTTTTGGTTTTCGATATCGTCGTGTTACGGTTCACCGCATCACAATCCTCTTTATTTTCGCTGTACGGTCAACACGAAAACGTGCTTCGCTACGTTGTGTTTGAAATAATTGCGTGACTCGACGATTCGCTTGCAAATCACGGACAATCCCGCGACACGTTTGCCGAAGAATTGGGAGTTGCACGCAAGGTGACCGACAATTTGCGCCGTAAAAAAATTGTCGGACTCGGCCGTTTCCCTAGGTGTAACTGTGGTTCGACCGAACTGACAAAAAACCGGACGCAAGACATTTGCTAGATTGATTTTTCTGATAAGTCTCGACCGCAGGTGTGCGACGAAGATGATCGAAGCTAATCGCACAAGCCCCGTTTATACACATGCGAGCCCCTTAAACGCTGCTATTTGCCGAGCGTTCGCGTCAACTATTATTCCGACTTGTTTCAGTTTCGTTTGAAGTTGCTGCGATCTGTATCGGAAGTAAAAACTGCTCGCTCGGTCGGTAAAACAGATCCTAGAGTTCATAATTTACAAGGAAGACGTTTACAATCATATTTTGGATTGACGGACCCCATGGTAACTCTTGAAGTATAATTTTTAAAAATCTCAATATATATTCCCATGTCATTGATTGCTACTGATTTATGTATAATGTTATCAAACGTCCTGTACGTGTTTACATAAGAGATCAGAATTACGGGAGGAGCATAAATCATTGCATTACGAAGCCATAATTTATTGAGGTGAATTATGTAAATCCGTAAAGTGTCTTGGTTCGACTTTTGTAAAATATGGTAGCTTCACTGACGGCAGCATGTTTCCCCGTAAACCGTAACCTAAAGGGAGTTAGATGACTTGCGCTATCGTGGAAACGTGTCCCAGACAATGGCACCGGTGTCTTTGTTGTATTCAGTGGAACAAGTGATGCAATTGAATTTTATGCACCTGCCAGCAACGCTACTAGCGGACGCTCGCATTTTTGGGGGGACAGGTTTATATGATAGCGTAACAAGAACGATCGGATGAGTCAGCCGCACCGGTAACCGGCTTCGTCTCTCCCCAGTTCGTCCTTCTCGCACGTTCACGGTGCCCCTTTTCTACCATCGTCGTCGTTGCCTTTCAGTCATACCACCTTCCTTTCGGTTCTTCGTCCTTCTTCAGTTTACTAACCTTTCTTCTTCTCCAGTTTTACGTCGACACAGGTTATCCGCTATCTTCGTTCCTCCCGCCGCCGATAGCAGTACGCTTATCCTTTTTCAACTCGCTGCTTCCTTTCTCGATCTTATTCAATCCTAAAGTAGCGATGGGTGCGTTTGTCTTCTGTCCCGCGAGTTTTTCCATTTACATTACAGTGTTCTTCCGAGTAGAAACAGGTGATCGTAAATTTTAAAAATTCTGGCCGATGTGGAAAATATTATGCGCTGTTTTTAGTTCAGAGGTTGGTAGTTGTTAGCGTCGATTCCGAAAATTTCCGGCGGTTGGACGAATTCGGTGCATCTCGAGTCGATCGCTGCGCCGATCCTTTTCCTTGTCCAACCGAGAGCACGATCATCTCGCCTTGAGTCGGTCTCGCTCGCTCCTTTATTTCCCAATGCTCTAACACTTTCGAGCGAATCGCAACAGGCGACTTCATTGCGTGCCGTTCGCTCGTGACCGCTCGAGCAACGAGGTTCCTCCGCCGCGTTCTTCCTTTGTCTCCGTTGTTCTCGAATTCGGATAAGACGCGTCCGAACCGTTCACCGAAAAATGACCAATCAGTGACTTGACGATCATTCTGTAATCCTACACGGTTGAATTTTCGGGGAAACTCGGCGTGACAGTGTGCAACAACAGAGTGACACAGACGGAAACGGAACACCGAGGGAAAGCCGAGACAGAAAACATCGTTTATTAGCCATCAAAGAATCATTCGATGTAAGTTATAATTACAACGGCCTGACATTTATCGCGCGTTCGAACACACGCACGTTGTAAATGATTCTTCGTGAAATCGGCTAATTAGCGGAATACCGGATGAGTGTTCTGTAATGCGTGAACGTTAGTGGAAGCAAAATAGTGTTTCATTATCTACACCGATAACATTAATGACTTTTCCATAGTACTATTCAATAGTGCCGTCCTCAGAACGGTAATTAATAGTTCACAGCATCATCAATCCGTTGTCATATTCAATTACGAGTTACTCGGCGCCAAAGGCCAGTAATTTCGGTGTTCGTACTTACGATGCATACAGCGACTCGCGGGCCACATTTGAACTTGAAACGCACGAAATTACCTCCTTTTCTCCCCTTCCGTTATTGGGCGCCTTAGCAACATGCATTCGATCGGACTTCGCGGAATTAGAGTTCGTTTAATTGAATGTATTTGACCCGTAATGGAAGCTCAGAACTCTCTGCGAATAATACAATATAATTCTCAGACAGATTCGTCATACGCCAACGAGTTCCCGGCGAAGTAAAAGTCCAGTAAAGCGGTTACGTTAGCGAGCCGAGCGAACGAGTCCGAGACGTTGCGACTGAGCGGTGTTTCACCCAGAAGTGACTCATTCGCTGTACAACAGTGTCTTGTTTGAAGTTTTACTAATGAATGTTGCCTTTCATTCGTTGTTTAACACACATGCGCTCGATAATAAGGCTGGCATTTCAGTTATTCGAACGATCGGCAAAAGGCACAATATCGACAAGATAATTACGGAATAAATAGTTTATTCGTTTAGAAAATTGACAGAATACCTATAGAAAACCGTAATTACGTTTTCACAGTTTATCTCGCAGAAAATCGAAAGGAACTCGTATTCGTTATGGAACGACCTAATAAGTATCAGAGTATAGGACACGGATAAAATTCAGTTTCAAGCAATGTTTAAGCAGTTTCGTTGATGGAGATTGGTCGTTAATTATTATTGCGAAAGAGAACATGCCGAAGTTAAACTTCGGTCGAATAGTTTCTTTATTTGCTCGGTGGGAGCGCCTATTTTTACTTTTCCACGTTTGCGACACGCCTCGTCATCTATTTGCAAATATTGGTTCGTTATCGATTCGAAAACGATCGATGGGATTGTTAATGCCGTTTTCACAAATTGTTGATTCTTGACCGTAATATGACTGTGTTCGCAATAACTGTCGATCCTATTCTGGACACTTGAATGTCATTAGTCCAGAGTGTTTATGGCGCGGCGGACAGTTATTATGACCGACCAGATACTTTAGCGCTGATCTCCAGAAAAACAGGGTGTAATGACCGTTCGTAAATTGTTACAGAGATCCGTGGCAAAACAAGGGACGGGTTAACGAGATGTCCGAGTACTGCGAGTACATGTGGGACCCCACAAGGGGTCACACGAGCGCCGCTCTGGCACGGAGCATTTACGAGGAGGAGGCCAGGTTCGACAAACGTGACAAGAAACTGGCCATTAAGACCGTCCGGGCGATCTTGCGAGAAATGCCGGATGTAGGTAAGACTGCAAAAACATCTCGCAGATCCCTCCTGGCCAATAACATTATCCAATCTTTTTATCTGGCCGTTCCGCCGTTCGCAGCAACTGTTTATGACCGATATCTAATTACGCGTGTCTTCGAAACACTACCGACGGCGGACATCGTACATCCCGGTCCGTTAACCATGATAAAGCGCCGTCTTGTTTCGTGCAAGCAAATGAACCTAACGCGGCGCCGAAGGAGTGTCTGATTCGCTTTCATAGCGTCGATCCTCGAATTTCCGGCATAATATCCGTGTTCGAGCGGCTTCCTGCCGGTCATTTTTCACGCTAGGCATTACAATGACCTGTCCTTGCTCCTAGACATGAAGCAGTGCACGGACGAATATATTACGCGTTTCCTGCTGGCCCGGAAGTATCGGACGGAGCAGGCTGCTGCCCTGATAGCCGCTTATCAGGCGCAAGTAGCACATCGACAGGATATCTTCGGCAATCTAACGGCGAGGGACCCGGCTCTGCAACGGGCGCTGCGCGCTGGTATACCGGGCGTGCTTCCGGCCCGCGATAGGTACTGATATCCTCGATCGTTTAGATTCAACTTCGGTTTTTACACCGCTTAATTACCATTTTTCATATGTTTCAGGAAAGGCAGATGCGTGTTAGTGATTTTAGCCTCTCAGTGGGATCCCGTGTCGATTCCAGCACTGTCAGTGCAGAGAGCTCTCTTTCTGGTGCTTGAAATTCTGATTCAAGATCCTAGAAATCAGGTATTATTATTTTGGCACACACCCAGTTTCTCGTCGGTCGCATCACTTTGTAAAATACAAAGGATTTTTCGCCTATTCGTTGTTGTCTTAAATGCAGAAAATCCGCAGTTGATCCGATATTGTGCTGGTAATTTAACGCTGTAGTATAAAGGACAGTATAAAGGACAAAGATCTTCGACGTACCGACTAACGGCGCTCCAATTTCTTTTCCAGCAATCCGGTTTCGTCGCTGTGGTAGATTGGAGCGGATTCTCCTTGCGACAGGGCGGTGCCTTGGGCGCAGCGGCACTGCGGAACTTAATAGCCGCTCTTCGTGGTCGATTTCCGGCCAGATTCAAAGCTATTCACTTCCTGTCGGCGCCGCTCTACGTCCAGGCCACCTTGGCCCTCGTGAAACCCTTCTTGGATGAAAAAACCAGGAACAAGGTAGGGTCAACTTCTTGATCAGTATTTCGCGTTCTTATTACATCGTTCATGTATTACTTTATCTATCGAATTCGTTTTATTTTTCTTCGAGCATTACTGGTCTCCTTTTAGCCTGATTTCTGCACTATTATCTCGGTCTAGTGCATGGTACAACCAATTCTCCATTCGATACTTTTGGACAATTAATAAATTAATTAATTTAATTTACTAATTTAATTAATTAAATTAATTTTATTTTTGGACAATTGATAAACCTTTTAAGAAATCAAAATTCAATTCTAAAGGATAAACATGGGGACACAGTGAGAAACAAATCGGGTTGCCATAGCTGAAAAACAAACACGGTTTTACAGATGCACATCTAGATAAAGTGGAGTTAAATATTGACTGGAAGATAATTGGAGGTTGCATAGCATAAATCCTGTTGCAAGATTGGTTCACTATAGTCTTGTTTTCTCGTTGTAAGAGACTAAACGCGACTTCTCGGCTTATGAATTTTTGTATGAATGATTCCGACAGATCTATCTCCATGGGAACAATTTGAGTACGCTGCACGAGCACCTTCCTACTGACATTCTGCCAGCAGAATTGGGTGGCACGGGGCCAGCATTCAATCCGGGACTATGGGCAGACCCAGTCATCCATTCAGCAATGAAGGACGATGATCTGACTACCATAAAAAAGGAGAAAGAGCAGGCTGAGAATGGAGATGGTAGAATGTGTGATAAAAAGTTGGTGGAATCTAGAAATGAAGAGAACCATAGGAAGAACGAGGCGAGTAGCATAGAATCTAGTAATGGTGTGAACAGAGAAAATGGAAGGCGATTTTTTAATCCTTTTGGAAGTTCCATGAAGAATCAGTCCGTTAAAAAGCCCGGGGCTAACGTAGAATTGAATTTAATTAACCACAGTAACTCAGAAGAGATGGAAGAAGGTAGAAGGGGAAGTAGAACGATAAGGAAAGATGAGGATCCCTACTGTCAGACTAGAGATAGAATGTTAAACAATGGAAATAGTGATTACTTCAGTAATAAAAAGGAGTTGTACAATGACGCGCAGGATAATCTACTAACGTATCGACCGGAGACGAATTCTAATGACTATGAGACTTCGAATAGGATAGATAGCGATGACAGTAAAGAAAATTCATTAGATAATAGATCAGAAAATGCTCTTATTGATACTAGGGGCGAGGTACCTTCTGAAGAAACGAATCTCATAATGTAATCCTGTGGACGCATTAGTTTCTAAAGTGTGAATTCATTGAGTACTTAAGCAGAACTTTTATACGATATATTAGCTCGATATACGATGACCAGAGTAATGAAACTTCCCATAGATTTTTGATGAAACGAACAAGATAATATAGCTGTAGAATTTTTTGATAGACTTTAAGAAGTACCTTGTGATATGGTAAACGTTATTTTTAATGTATTTAAATATTCATGAGGCTTTTATATTCCTCTCATATATAAAATATTCTCTTATTGGTATCGACGTATTAGAATACGTAAAGTAATCAATTTCTTCAATTTTATTGTTTTTAAAATTGATTTGATCATTAAAGATTTGTCTACATACTAGAGTCGTGAATGTGAATAAGAATATCATTTTTACAGATTTGTACTTACATTTTTTAAAACGAGTTTCCGCGACAAACAATTTTTATAATAGTATTGTATATATGTATTAAATTATTTATTCATCTCAACTGTATCATGAAATTAAGGATCTCTTATTATATATATACATATTTTTAAGATCGATAGGAAACGTATCCTCAACGGAAAATGTATTTTACTTATTAAGAATCTCTCTATGAATTGTCTCTCGTTTTGTGACAATATCAAGAAAACTTCAAGGAACACAAAAAGTGTTATGTATATTGATAAAAAGTGTAAAGTATTAATTGCAGCGAAATATTTTGTTACATTATGTTAGTATAAAGCAGTACTCCTTCCATGCGCCCTTTCGTCGAAGCGGGCAGCAGCGATACGATAATAAATTTCTCCATCATTCCTGTCGTGTTGCGCGGCGGTAGGTACACGATTTTCCTCCGGTGTACAGAGCAGTGGTATAAGACACGCATTATTATACGTGGAACTAACTAAATTCTACGTCGAGAATTACACTTTTATTAAAATGAAAATCATGATAGAATAATGGAATAAAAATTTATTATTTTAATACATAAAATATATATGTATATGATTTTAACAGCAATACACATTATAAACATAGAATCTTTTTATAATACCTTTCATTGCTGAAAATACCGTACTACTTACAATACTTTTTCTATTCCTCATCTTGTCCGCACTTTCATACATACATACATGCACCCACCTTCCTCCACCCTCAATATATTACTTTTCCATGCCTTCTGTTTAAAATCGTATGAAAATAGAAAATCCTACGTAGAGATCTATGATGAGGTATATAAAAAACGGTAGTCAAATGTAATGCAACAGTTTGCTTATGTACAAATGTTATTATACATATATCCTGTGGACACTGATCTTTAATTACAAAAAAAATCGTTCGACATAAATTTATAAATATAAATATGTATATGCAGTTACGAAAATTATGTACGTTCTCTTTATTCGAAATCTAATTTCGAAACGTACAATTCAGTTTGATTATAATACCGCGCTTGACGAAATGCAATGTTAGTCGATTATAGAACCGACAGTGACTTCTATATTTCTTATATTATTAATAACGGGGAAACGACAGTATTGGTGCAGTCAGTATGTGAAAATAAATGTTTTTTTCATGGTAATGTTTATATCCGAATATACAATTCAGAAACGTTATTGTAAACGGTATTTAAACATTCATATTAATACAGAAACAACTATGACTGATTTTTATATTCACAGTCATAATGTACTTCCCTCCCTCTCGTTGTGTATTCATAAATATATTCAACAAAAGTCATTCAGAAGCAGACATTATACTTTTTCAATACCAGAGTTTGTACTGTACTGTTACGAAATTACAAGAGTAGAAATTTCTTGTACCGAAAGATAGCGATGACTGAGTTGTGGTTTCGCGCTCGCATTATTGTCTAGTAGACAGAAAGTTTAAGCTAGGATTGCCGGCGAAACCCATCCTCCGAAACGTCGCTCCAATACTTCTGCCACTGCTATTGTTAAACGATCTTGATACAAACCACCGATGACCTATTGGAGATGAAATTATTGCATTAAAAATTCTGCAGGCTTTTATGTTGCATTTAGCGCAATTGAAATATTATTTCAGTTATTGAAATGAGTCGAATGTTGTGATGAGAGAATTGTTGAACAAGTAAAATGAAACCACAGTGACTGTATATGTGGCAGCACATACCTGAATGCCAATAGGAAGCCCTTGCGCGTTTAATCCTAACGGGCAAGTAGTGGCGGGCAAGCCTAGTACATTAAAAATCGCAGTGTATGAAAAATTGAATGGCTTAATGAGCGGTTCATGGTGCATCGGTGCAGCAGTTGGATGTGTCGGATACAAAAATATACCGTCCTCTCCCAAAATGTCCTATAATAAATGTTGATGATTAAACATGTGATAGCATCAGCGGCAAGAAAAGAAGAAAATCCGAATGTTTTGTAAAGAAACTGGAAACATGCTTCCTAACAAGTTAAATGACTGCTTTTCTCATATCGGCTACATCGGGTTCGTAAAAGACGCTATAGCGGATAGAAGAATCGCATTCTGCATGCAAGAGGAAAATTCTCTGCTACTAACTAGGAGAACACATTATACCATGGAAGACTAGCAGCGGTCAGACCAGAGAAAGAAATCACGTCCTTTAACAAAGGGTATAATAACCCGTAATTCGATTGTAAGAATGAATCATTACTCTTGATATCTTGCGCGATATTTTGTAAAGCAAGGCGAAGAAGAGGGGGGCCAATTCCAATCCTAATTGCATTATGAGCACTTATGAATTGGAGGTATTACAAAATTCTATGTAGAAAGGCAAGAATTCATTGACATATACTATAGAACGCTTGACATCAAACGTGGTATCGTACCTGAAATTCCTGACTGAGTTCCTTACTTTCTTGGATCAGTTGAGTATGTTTCTTGCTCCCATATTTCACAGCAAACCTTTCGAACATGGCAGTGAAAAGTGCTATCAACGTATGATTGCTTATGAAGAGCATCCACTTCAATAACTCCCACCAAATGTTAATGTGACCTTTCCGATTGGTCAGTTCGTACAAGAAGTTTTTCTCGTCTTTGCAAGTCATGTTCGCCGTCCAAAGAGTGATGCTCTTTTTCATTTTCTTAATATCGACCTTGGTGGCATTAACCTTATGTGCCATTTTGAGATAACGGATCACATCCCTCATGGCCGTCTTTATCTCTGGGTCTACCGGTGACGTCAAGTACTGACCGCCATCCTCTTCCATATAATAGAACTAAATTGAAATATATATGTACATAATGTATTCTGAACAATTATTGACAAAAAATGTTATTTTGCATTCATACCTTAATTTTCGAAATGTCTACATTTTCATTTAAACGTAAAAGGTATGCATTCTTGTTTGCAAGAACTTTTAAAGTAGGCTTCAAATCTTGAGCGTATCTACACATGGGACCAATGGCGAGCAATTGTGCTTGGTCCTCGCTGTGAGTGCTTGGATACTGACCATCGTTTGAAACAATGCCTTTCGAAGGTTTATGTCCGAAAATTCCGTTGAAAAAACTTGGCATGCGAATGGAACCTCCAATATCCGAACCGATTCCCAATGGCGAGCCAGCTGCCGCTTGTATGCAGCCCTCGCCTCCTGACGAACCTCCAACAATGTGCCTGGTGTTGTACGGATTTTTTGTAGTACCATATAAACAGTTACTACTTTCCCACCACATCGCTAACTCTGAAATATTTGTTGTGGCAAGGGGGATTGCTCCTGCGGCTCTCATTAAATTTATTGCTTCCGCGTCACGTTCGGCAACTACGTGTTTACGAGCAACTAGACCAGCTGTTTGCTTCATGTTCGCTATTCCTATACAGTCCTGTAAACAATTTTTAGATTGTATTTATTGATGTAGACAGTGTATAGATGTAGTGCTTGCTGATGCAAATTTACCTTTGTTGTGAAAGGCACTCCAAAAAAGGGTTTCTCCTCAGCTAATACTTGCAGTGACGGAGCATTTTCAGATCTTAAGAGTTCATCACACTTTCGTGCATCTTCTAGAGCATCTTCAAAGCGATCCTCCACTACACAATTTAACACGGGTTGAATTTCCTTTATTCTATCTATATATGATTGTACTACACTCTCTGAAGTCAACTATAAAGACAAAATGGCACTTGTAATTAATTATTATGTATCATTTCACCTACAGAATATTACACAAAGCAACATGGTTTTAATATTTATTATTCCAAACCTATTCTTTTCTTAGATAGCATATAAATATTTAAATACTTTTTCTCACCTGTTTATTCCTAATTTTACATGCTAAGGCTGTTGCACTATTTAACAAAGTTAGGTCCTTTATAGGAGGCTGATGGTCAGCAGGACCTTTTATCAAGGCAATAAATTTAATTATGTGTCTGACTGTAAACTCGAGCAGTCGGTGGATCACATTCAATATCTGTCTGGATTGCATTTTTTTAGGATTTTTAGTTTTGCTAGACATCTATCTGAAATACAAACAAGTAGTCAATAATTAGTGATAGCTAAATTATCGGTATCGAAAATCGGTGAAACGCAAATTCGAGTGCAATGCATACTCCCTGACATAATTAAATACAATATTTATTTTTAATGTATTATTTACACCGTCGAAGAGCGAAAAGATTTTTTTTTTTCATCACGTTCAAGCATGAGGAAAGCATAACAAAGTATTCACCGTTCCGTTCTTGTCCGCTTGCGTAAGCCGGGTAACGTTTATTTTCGAGAATTACGTTATTCTAACGATCACTTTTGAGCCGGCATTAAGTACACAAAGCGCATACGAAATACTGTATCATCCACAGGACGGATACGTGTAACCGTAGAACGTTGTGTTCTAAACAGTAATTTTCGTTAAGAAAATCTAATTGCAGAGACCGATATAATAATCTGAGCTCTTTGTATTATGAAAAACATTTTAATAGTCTAGAGTCCAGATGATGTGCAATTATTCTTCAACGAGGATTAAAGGTTGCGTATAACGCACTTTAAAGATAACTGCTCCGAACGCAATTGTGCTAATTCTATGCAAATAACAGTGTGAGATAGTCACAATGCGAAAGTAAGGAGGTACATATATACACGTTCCATCTAATATGAATCATCCAATCATCTTCTTCAGCACTGTTATTTGTTCTCATAACATCTAATAAACTAATATTTATACTTAATTCGGACGACGTTAGCCGAAGGATACGTACAGAGGCTAACAAGAAAAACAATCATTTCCAGGTTCCGACGGTATGGAAACATTTATCCCTCAGCGTATACGAACATTTTCGTCATTATGTCGTTTAATAGCCGTTGAAAGAGGTCACCGTATCACGTAGCCCGTAGCCCGTGATGGCACGTAATTGAATGAAACATATTCTCGTAATTGAATACGTACCTCGAGGAATTCTAATTGCTAGCAGTTGAATTCGTCGGATTCGGCCGATAAACAATGTCGCGATACACCGGAATAATATTTATCGGTTGTCTAGACTAGACCATCTGTACCCCCTTCGACCACGCAATCCGACTACATTGCTCATGCATTGCTCTGTCTGGCGGATTAATTGACGACCTTGAATCCGGAATGAATCGAGTTTAGTGTTTTTTATGGGGAGACACGCACCGGTGTTTATCGATTGACACATACTGTGAAGCCGTCGCTCGAATTTCGACGTAAATTCCACGCGCTGCTGGAGAAATAATTAAGTAATTGAAATAGCCACGCACGAAGGCTGTTTGAAACGCACACACCGCGTGAGTTTAACCGCGATCGCTTGGCCGGAGGTCATTTGCGGCGCATTTTTAGTGAACGCAGCTGTGTGGAGGCCTCCGCGACAGGGCGAATGAAAACATAACTAAAAAAAAATCAGTGTTTTCGTAAGCGAAACGCATCGTTTCTTGGTAAATATGCAGCTTAGAGGAGCCCCTTCCAACATCACCGTTCCAAACAACTTCTTCCTATACGTAATAGGTGTCCTTTTCTAGTTTTTGAAATCTTGTATCTAATAGGGAAATGTGGTTTCGCGGTGGCTCCCTTAAACCGCTTATTTTGCCTGTTTCAATTCAAACGAAGCGCCGCGATTCCATGTGAGTTTGACAATATTCATTCGACCGGAAGTCATTCGCGGCGCATTTCAGGCAAATGGTGTCACTTGTGTCGGGCCGTCGGGCGTTTTCCATCCGTCGGAAGGAAGCTAGCCGTGAAGTAACGAACGTAACACAAGAAGGTCAATGGGTTTGGTCGATAATCGGGAAAAATAAATTATCAAACGCGACCGAACAGGCCGTCGATTGATCTTACGATAGCGATCCAGGATCGCAACCGCTTAATCACATGTGCAAAGTACGTCTTGTATACCTGGACATATTCTACAGAAAAACTTGACCGTCAATAATAAATTATTCATCTGTGTTATTTGCTCTTATGCATGAGATTATAACTTTGTTGTACCTTGAGCTTGCATCTAAACGACGTGTTTATCGAAGCGCAAACGTCTCTAGAGTGTTGTAGGAATCTTCTGAGGCTAGTTAATCAATTTTAAACTCGTCTCTGAGGAATATTGAACCGGTACTACGTTGAAATGTACGTTGAATGTTGATCGAGTTCGACCGTCCGGTGTTTTTCGGCACGTTCGCTTACTTACGGCAGAATTTGATAGAAAAACTCGCTAGATCGACACGGGCGGATCTAATTAGTATCGTCCGTCACCTGGCCGATCCAAAAGTGTTCACCGGCAACGCGATGTTGTCGACTGATACTACTCTACTCGCGAGCTTTGCTATTTGCTTACACCTTTGCCGGCATCGACACACTGTACGGGATACGCGCAATCGCTATAGTTGCTCCGACGCCTGGAACTTACGACCTTTTATGCGCCGGGTAGATATGTATGTATTTGACGGGTTGGGGATAGGCAGTAAGATGGCGGCCAGGTAGTCACAAGAACAATACACTCTGGAATTTGATATTCAACTGGCTTCAATATCTATTATCAATTCATTAAGATTCGAGACCACGCAATAATGACGATATTATTTATTAATTAGCCCTTTGATGTTTAAGTCTCTGCTGTATCCACAACGTACACAGAATGATTTCAATCATACAAAAGAAAACTTAAGTTTATCAACTGTTGGTATCCATAAACGGTATCCACAAATGGTATCCTGAATTTATATTTAACATATAGGAGCGAAGTAACATTTTACATTGCAAACATATGAGCAATGAATTTAAGTATAGTTGGGTTTTCAGTAACAGGCTAGTGAAGGTAGTTTTCAATCAGTTTCACGCGATAAGAACTTCGTGGTTCAGAAAATTGTCGAGAGACAATTGAACTAGAGTCATTGTTACCGCTTCTATTTACCAGGTTTGTTAAGCTCCATGTAATATATATATCTACTGTCCGTTTGAATTGTCGCGCTCGATTGACAGCTCCAATGGTCAACTTCACGCGATACTCGGCATTATGCCTGACAGTTTTATCTTTCTAGCACATAGACAAGTACGGGCGACGAGAAGGTATAAAATATCATAGTTTTAATTTTGGAAAAAAATCTCTTTTCAAATTTTTCCAAATAAAAGACGAATGTATTTCTTTTTCTAAAAATAATTTCACAAAATGTATTAATATAAAATGTATCAATATAATATAATTTTAAGAAAGAATAAGTGAAACTGTTCCCGACACTGTTCTTCGAATTTTTCATTTCAAATTACCGTTGTCGAGACGCGTCATTATATAGTCTACAAGGTATTAACAATCGCAGCTGCTAAATATCACGATCGTATGTCCGCAGTTCGAGTTACATACTAATATGACGAATAATTCGAATTACAGATGTTTGTATAACATAGCGCGTAACGTAACGCTGAATATTATTATCTTATACCGGTTTTCGAGTTACCGTGTTCCGACGGTGTTGGTTGTGCCGACACGAAAACCACTGGCACGAAAGAACTCCATCGGAAGTATTTCTTACCTGGTTTTCACGCGATCGTTTATCTTCCGGAGCAGTAACCGCTAGTAGAAAGCTTCAGCAACACATTTTCGTAATGATAATTTTGATAAAATCGTACACAAACAAAGATTGACTTCTCCACTGGAACTAGTGAAAGTTATCAACTTGAGGTTCGTCCAGTGACTGATTTTCGAAAGCAGCCCAGATGGCGTCCCGGTCAACTCGAGCCGGAGAGGGGGGCAAAGAGAGTAATGGCGTCAATGTGCTCGGATGCGCGCGCGAGTTTGTGTACGTGTGCGACAGGGTGAATGTCATTTTGTGAACCACTTGCTTCCTTATCACTCGACAAAGCACGTTCATTATCCTTGGTGATTTGAATATTGGCTGGTTCACGCGACGAGTTAACGGCGTAACGATATAGTGCTGAAAGAGACTGGCTCCTTGTGTTTTTTGACTTGAAATGCGGCTCAGGGTCGTTGTTCGCCATTTCGAGGTTAGGTCCGCTGCCGTGGCGGCTTTTTTGCGTTTCAGTGCATCGCTGCGCTAAACTCTGCGTAACCCCGATCGATTCGACACAGCCCTCCTTGTTAAGCGAGAAAATTTTGTGCATCGATACCGATCCACGCTGGTATGGATTTCCTGTAAATTTATTTACATACGTTGGTCGAATAGACAGCTATATCTGGGTGTCGCCGCAAACTAAGCGTTTCAATTCTATCTCATTATGTGCTCCCACTCGCGCCGCGCCACTTATTAGCCTTGTTTTCGTTAACACATTGACATAAGAATGAGTCACTTAACTGCATTCGCATTACCGTCAAGTAGCTTGTCTTCAGAGAGTATGGAGACATCTCATCGCTTCGCTTGTTTATTTATTCGTTTCTGTTGCCGGATGCGAAACAGATACTTTATTTCCTCAATCAGTTTTTTGGAGTACGTTTATAAGCAGTGTTTGAATATTTTTGTAAATTTTTGTCATATTTCTGTTCATGTACTTACCGAAAGAACCGAAAGATAAAAATTTTACGTAATAACTTTTGTATGACTTTGAATAAGAAAATCCGTCTTCATTCCAGCAAACAGAAAAATTTAAATTTCGCGCGTTTGCATATGTAGACATTCCAGATTTTTTGGAATAAATTCGTATGCTTGAATTCTTTAATTTAAATGGCAAGAAAGGCACATCTTTGTATTGTTTCATTATTTAATATTAACAACAGTTTCTGTGATTGTTATTTCAGTGTCGTAACGACGTTTTACTGTTTTATTAATTATTAAACGTAACCTCAAACGTAACGTTGTTTCGACGTTATCTCGGTCAATGTTACGTCACTTTTCCAGATGGTCAATTAATTCATTTTTGGAAAGATAACAAGTACCTAAATTTGTACAGTTTTCTTTTTAATGCTTAAATGATCGTGTCACATAACTCGATTGCCTAATTGTTTTCGTAAAACGACTTTAAAGATTATTTCATTGCATCTGTTACGAGTTTCGGAATATTTTTATTTTTGCTGATGCGGTGAACTTTTAACCTTGCTTCAACATTTATTATTCCTTCGTCTGGCCAGCATATTGAATAATACACGAGTATACTGGTTTATTGAACCAGTTTCATTTTTAAATGTATGAATTGTTTAGTTGCGATTCTCGAGGTAAACCGACTACGGTGATCAAAGCTATTTTGAATAAGAAATTACCCAATATTAATCCAGCCGTTTAATACCTTTCTTAAATCGCCTTTTATTACCCGAGAAATTCGAGTGAAAGCGAAGTCAATATTCACGGTGATCCTTTGCGTTTCTCTTCCTGCGTGTCGCAATAAATATTGTATAACCGAGCACATTTGTTGCACGTGTAACACGTATAACGTAATTCATACATCCCCATCTTAATTTCGCAACGATAACTCGGTCGAAAATTCTCTCGCTAGAAATAGAAAACTTCTCCCGATTCAAGTAATCGGAAACAACGTTACAAGCTGCATCGTGAAATTCTATTTTCGAATGCAGCTTGAAAACCTTTCGTCAAATACAACGGACGTCTCCTATCTTTCAGTCGGCAAACTTATACATGCTCAGCTGCCGTTTCAAGCCTACCGGAAGCGGCTTCAATAATTGAAACCTTGACCCAGCTATTCAGACCGTTCAAAGGTTCAGAATCGCGAGCAGACGAGTACAAAAGTTTTTCCGCTGTACCCTCAGATCCGAGCCGGCGCTATGGTATAGTGAATGCCGAGAGATTGAATCGTTAGCTGCCACTGGAAATCGTTGGAACCGAGGTCACCGGGCAAGATGAAGAAGAGTACGGAGACGGCCGGGTCGGAGGAGGGTGGAGCGCAGGACGACGCCAAAGATATACAAGAAAAGACGAAGAAGGTGGGCGCGAAGGGCAGCGGGGCGACCCGAGTGAAGCAGCTTCAGGAATCGAACAAGTCCACGAATCAACCGCAATCATCCGGTTCTGCTACCGGTGAGCCAATGTAATCCTCCATGTCGTTGAATGTAGTTTTTAATTGTTTGAATGTATCCTCGATTGTATTCCTGTTCATATATTGTTCACACTATTCACCAAAAATAGGACATGGCCTGAGAAGTCGACGAAGAATCCTGTGGCAAGAAGCTGTTCACCGTTTCCAGCGTACAAACAACGATTTTGCAAAGCTGAGGGAAACACTGTTTTTCAGTAACCAGTATTTAACTCCTAATGCAAATTTACACTTGCAACTGCTAATGAAAAAGCAATCGCTATGGAAGCCAGCAATGAGAAAGGATAAGAAACACTGTAGAATGCGAGAAAACGCCCAAGACGTTCGCCTAGGTATCTTCCAACTCGCAGGCCATGTCCCAAAGGCATCTCAAACATCAGAATCCTCATTACCAATTAACCAAAGATCTCTCATCACCGCATCCTCTTCACGCACGTCGCTACGATTCACGCACAAACCTCTTTTCGTGGTGCACGAATTCAATGGACACCATCGGACCAGACCCCTGAATGGGTACCCATCATCGTCACACCCGGTTCGCATTATTGGGTCAGGATAGGGCAGGGCAGGGCCGATCGGCGAGTTCATTTTGTCCCCTGTCCTGTCCCGATAGTGAGAATTGGTCTTATTCGGCCCCGTTCTAAGAGAACAATGCAACGCGGGATTGGAGCCATAATTTTGCTACTAAGTGTCGGGAACTCCTCCCGATTTGCATTATTGGGTCAGGATAGGATATGGCAGGGCCGATCGGTGTCACCATTTCTGTCCCCTGTCCTGTCCCGATAGTGAGGATCGGTGCTTGATCGAGCTCTGCAACTGTAATTATAAGAACGGTGTACTAACGCACAGTATCGTAGGCTTGACACGTTGATTGCTGACTCAGCAACAGCAACTAGATAAGACCAAAGCAGTTCACTTGATAAAATATCAAACTATAGACGAATAAAAAATCTGAATCCGGTTAACGGGGCAGTCAACGTGTTACGGGCAAGCGTTAGGTCATGAAATGCTCATTCTATGGGACATACCTAGCGTGGGCACAGATTGCCTCTAAAGGCGACGATCCCACGCTTACAGAAAAAATGATTGTTTTCCTTTTCTCCGACGACTTAGATAGGATAGACAAAATCATGGGAAACACCTGGTACATTAAGAAAATTCTTTACAAAAGCAAATGAACTATCCAAATACGCAGGCTCGAATTAACAAGAAATTTAAGAGATTCTCTAAAAGTAATAGTAGACAGTTTCTTGAAGAACTTTACAGCAACGTTCGGGACCTGTTCCCATTGTTTTGTTTAACACATTATCTTTCCCTGTCCGCCAAGAGAGCCCGTACATTAGCGATGTAACGAGATAAACCCAACTGTGCCAACAGCCCTTCAGTCGCGTACACACTTGGCAAATTCAAATATGATCCATCGGCTCTCATGTCATCACATATCCTATTCTTTTCCGGCACTTGACACACAGCGCGTCTCAATGGACCGCGCGACTAGCTCGTCGGCGTCGAACGTGTCGAAGAGAACGGAAAGGAGGTGTCTCCGAAGACAATCGCACCGAGCCGTATCGCGACGTGATCAATATTCCGTTAGATTTACTGTACTTCGGAATTATAAATAGACGGGCTATCGAGAACTCGCCGACCTGGTATCGCGGTTTTCGCAGAAGTGCCATCCGCGTAGAAATAAATTGGCCATCGCGAATCTCCTGGAGCGTGAACGATAAACATTCTCGCGGGACCCAGATGTTTGCTCAAAGGCTTCTCCAGCTGCGTTGCTCTCATCGGCGCTGCTGAGAGCCTTTTAGAGTGTTTGTTGCCTCAAGATTTCTGGCGGCCACGGCAAACCTAATTCCCTACATTGGAAAACTTGCGAGGGGACGTCGGGATAATGTAATATTGGTGAGCGTCCATTGACAGGAACCGTTGGAAGTTTCTGGAACTTAATTAGATCGTGTAAACATTGATTTTTCAAGGAACAACTTCGAAAATCGTTAAAATCTGGCTCGCGTCGTTTTCTTAAACAATTCTGCAGACAGGGTTCATCAAACGATCGGTCTCGTTAAAAGCTCCTGTTATCGGTCAAGCAAAATTCCGTGCACAGAAAATGAGATCCTTAACGGCGTTACTGGTTCGGTTGCAAATCGAGTAATCCTGATCATCCATCTTCTGGCTTTCTATGATGGTGAGTTCTGTTTTGATCACACGTATGGTATTAATCGCAACTCGACGATCTGTGCACGGTAAATGGATGGACTCGATTTGACTGGCAATTTTTGTTCAGTCTCTAGAATAGGCGCGCGTTAATCCTTTGCTGTACTTTAAGGAGTCTGACTCGTGATGAATAGTTATCCTGTTCTTTTAACGCTAAAGCTCAGTCGAATCGTAAGTAAAGAGTCAGTCATATCGATCGCTGTCATATCTTCTATTTTTAAATCGTGGAAACTCTAAAGACTCCTTCTTAAGAAACGACTGAATAAATCCCTTTATTCGAGCTTAAATTGTAACAAAAATCGCGGCAAGTCTGGGTAAATTTCGCGTTGTTATTCTTACAAAGCAGCACACGTTAGTCACTTAGACGTCGATAGGTTTAACGTTAAGCGAGACAATTTCTTCCGTTCGCATTTCCAAAAAAAGGGAAATTATATTTCTATTAATCAGTAATCACCTTGATCACCTTGATCAAAAAGAAAAGATTTCCTCTCGAATAAAGTTGCAAAAGGCAAAATCTTCGTCTTCCAAGCTTTCGCTTTTCAGGTTGTTTTTTACGGTTTCCGAAAGATTTCGGTGCTCGTAAATTCATGAGAGCATGCAGATTCGCTTCGAGGACCTTCGGTGTGTTTATGGGCACCGAAAAACATCGTTCCCAGTATTTTTCTCGAGAGCCACGCGCTCGCTGGCGAGATCCTGCGTGTTAGGCAAGCCGTAGCTACTATATTGATCTACCTGTCCGAGGGCTATATCGGTCCGCGTGTTTCGGTGCAGTACCTTCCAGTCCACCAGCGCGAGATCAACGTTTCCTCCTGGAGCTTCTCTGGCGATCACGTTTCGTCTTGCGAAATAATCCTCGAAGTTTGTTCTTCAACCGATCGTCCACTGGCCTCGGGACACCATCAATCGGTCACGATGGATCCGCCAGGCTCGTCGCCAGAAAAGACACTCGATAGTGATCCAATCGCAGCCACTTTTCCCTCTTCTGTCAGAGTTCTGTGAATCTTCGTGCCTGTTTTCGAGGAATCCGTGCATAATCTGTGCCAATCTCGGCACTCGTAAGGGTTGACAGACGCATTCATGGTTCGTTTCCGCAGTTTCCTGCAGGTACGTCCGCGTTCCCGCCGTTTTATCCTCGAGTCTTGAATTTCATTAGCACACGTAGATTTCATTCAGGCTTACGATGACAGAGTTTGCTGATTCGGCGATCCTTCGTTCAGTTTTCAATGATTTCTCGGTGTAGTTCTGTTCCGTTTTTCTTAGAGAGCCGCATCCAGTGTCAACATCTACGTTTAATTATGAATAAACAGCGATACTGTTTTTTGTTCCCGACGCCGAGACAGCTTCTATCACTAATGAACAGGTTAACATTGCGCAGCAAAGCCCGCATTCAATTATCCTCCGATGTCGTCGCGCGTAAACGCATTTTCTTGTCCGAATTTTTTATAATCCAGGGACAACGCTCAACACGACTCTTCCTCGGCTCTGCGTGGGTGTGCGCTCCAACAGCAACCTCCATCAATATTTGCTTTTGTCATGCGTTTTATTTGCACTCGCAAAGGCACTGTGTGTCCATCAAAATTCCACGGCACTCTCTGTTAGTTTTTCTTTTTTCATTTAATTTCGCAACGATCGGTCGCAACGTCGCAAGCAGGAAAGCATCCGCGCGATTTTTCCGAAAGGGACGAGCTCTCGCGATTCTTCACGATCGCTCGTTCAAAAAATGCTAGATCGCAATATTTTTCAGCGGTAATCACGTTTCTTTCTAGTTTGAATTGCAATTGCTTCGACAATGTCCGCGGCTTTCCGCGTTCCACCCCTGCACAGCGGGGAGAGCCCTTTTTCATCCCCCTCGGCAAACTCGGTTCTCTCTTAACGACGAAACTTCGTAACATTTTCCGTAACACGATTCACCCCCCAGTAATTTAACCCTCGTTTATGGACGACTTCTCTGGGCCCGCTTTTCTTTAACGCTCCCACGGTCCGGCGTTCTTTTCTTTTTGCCAAGCCATAATGAAAACCGAAATGCCGAAGGGCGCTTGGAAAACGGAGGGAACAGTCGTTCTTAATAATCCCATCATCGCCGTTTACGAACGTGTCCGATTTAATGGACGCTTCAATCCGTAATTTCGCGCGATAGAATGTAAATTGCATTCGTTCGACTTTTCATCCGTTTCCATTAACGCATTACGATCCGATTTATTGCGCGCATTTCATGCCGCCGCGGAATCTTGATGATCTTAAAGCATATTTATTAAAGTCGTTTCGAAAATACCCGCAGACTGGGCATCAATAAAAATCATACTTCGTTTTTATTCTGTCCTAAACGATGTCTCAAACATCACACACTCGAAGGCGAAAGAAGAAATGCAAGATTTATTTTTCTCCGAAAGTAATGCTACCTGTTTATTATTCGTTCATTCTTTGAAACCTTCGCATGCTCCAAATTTCACCATAAAAGTCCATATTCAAGCATTCAAGTTTATATTTATAAATCGCTTTACGGTCCTGCTCTCGTAGGTCCGACAACAATTTCGTTGATAATACGAAAAACGGGGAAACACAATTTCCTTCTTTCTGCATTCTCCGAACATAAAATTGCTGTGCACGAACGTTAAAAAGTAAAGTTCAAAGTTTGTCGCAGAATGAAAGAATGAAATTCTGGTCACGAATGGTCGCACCGATCGTAATGCGTCGATGATCGTTCGCGATCGTTTCACGAGGATCCGATCCACTTGCCAGGCCATCAGCAGCATCTGACGTTTGGAATGTTCACGCAGGAGGATGATTAAAAGTACGCAGCCTCGGTCGTTTCGATGAGAAAATGCCACGATGCTGCGGCGCGTCTTTGGTATCCGTCATGGACGGCGACGGGTCCCCGCAGAGTCTCGGTTTGCAGATTCAGGACGGTCAGTAATTAAACGATAATTGCCTGGTAGCTTTGCCCCGGGTTTCCCGCGAACGTTCGCATAACTTTTGTCGCACGCTTGCCGCGCGTTTCCACGGGCGTACGGTTACCAGCGAGCCCGATCGCCGCACCGACTCGGTCGCTGGATCTTTCAATTAAGCCGTTTCTTGCGCCACGGAGGATCCATGGATCCTCCTAGCATCGGTCGACCTTCCTCGCCGACAAGATGTCTCGCGAGGCGCTTCGATCCGACGATGTTTGCAGACCGTGTCGGCTAATGTAAAATTCGTGCGGATCGATTTTTCTGTAATCAATTTACCAACAATTTAATCTTCATCATCTTGCACAAATGATAATTACATTCCTGATAATATTCCCGAGGCAGGGACTTGCATGAAAGAGACGCAACATTTCAGACTAGAACTTTTACTTTGTTCTTCGTTAATCGACAATCGCGTGTTCGTTACGCGCATTATTTTGCATTGAATGATCCGTGTATTTGTGCAAGTTCGATTTCGAATATCTTGAAGCAAGTCGACCTTTTTGATCTTAGCGTCGGCGTTGAAGTAGATACTTGTACCATTGCTGGTGATTAGGCTGCGGATTCTTATGCGAGATAAAATACTCCTTTGTCATCGGTAAGAAACAGAAGTTAGATAAGAATATATTTCTTGAAAATCGATATAATGACGGTACTAAATTCTTCTGAGGCCTCTATAGGTTTGCGTCTGTATCTGCTCATTACTTGCCATAAGTGCATAAAGTCCGCAGTCTACTGATATAATTTGTAGAAAGAAGTTAGAGAAGTCTTTGTAAGCAAAATTCTAGAGCAGAAAATCCGTCGGACCGTCGACTATTCGCATAATTTCTGCTTGCTATTCCGGAACAGCTTGTGCGTATTTGACCGTTTAGACACCTGCCGATAAGCGCAATTTCTTTTTCCATGTCTGGTCCCGTCGTGCATGATCGTTGAGTAATGCGACGTTCACGAACGTCTCGTTAAATGACGGTAACGATCCTATTTGCGAACGTAACATTATGTTTCCATATTTATCCGCCGGATGCCCATGTAACGCAGCTAATGTGTAAAACAACGTTTCCGCCTGTACGCGCTAATGAGACCGATTAACGTGGTCCTTAGTACACAGGTCTCTTTTGGTAGAGAACTCTTTTTACGTTCTGCGTTATCAAATTGCAGACCTTCGGTCGTCGATGCGCAATAGTAATCAATAGCTACCGCGACCGTTTAATTTAATCTTCGTGCGCGTCCCGGATGAAAGATCAACTATTTCTAGACCTTACGCTACGAAATCATTGATCTGTTTACGCTTATCTAATATTTTCAGTGCCAAGATCTGACATTAAACGCGATCACGCGTGATACGATACATTACTTTGACTTTAATGAAGCTTTTTGAATAGTATGAAACGTAACAAAATACAAAACAAAAATTGGAGAGATTCGTCTCTGAGGAACGTACGAGAGTTAAGAGTACGCTAGAACCTCGATTATCCGAACTCTCAACCTTCAAACCCGAAAAAAAATGATTCAGATTTGGCACAATTTTAATCGCGACACGTTCGATCGGATAAAGAAATTCACTCGATCAATTTCCATAGAAAAATCCCCGTAAATTCAACATCTATACATAGAATAAAGCGTATGAAAACGGTTCTTTGGTCGATGATTCGTTGAAGCATGTTCACGATTTGAATGGCAACTGAATTGAGTTTGGATAAACGAGGTTCCCCTGTGATCGTCGCAAACCAATCGTCGACGTAGATTTACGTTCTAGAATGAATTGGGCATCGGCTGCTTTTCGAGGGATTAAAATTCTTGGAACGATCCAAATCGAATTTTCTCGGTGTCGCGGCTGCTTGTACGGAAGTGTGAACGTTGTCGAATATTTCTCTTTTCGATGTTGTTCACAGGCAACCCCCGCAACAAGACAGCCCTAGCGCCCGGCCATAGTCTGATGGACTGGATCCGATTGACTAACTCGGGCGTCGATTTAACAGGCGTCGGTGGCGTTCCACGAGTCGTGTCTCTGTCCGAGCTGGCCAATCATAACAAGCAGAATGATGCTTGGATCGCAATTAGAGGTACGAATCGGTCGGCAGCATCTCTCTGGGCAATTAACACTTTGTGGAACTCGTTGCTCAATACTCGGTAACATTCCTGACATTCGAACTCGTGTACATCTGTAATTTGCACGTCGACGCCTCGCACACATCGTTGAAATCAATTGGTCTGACGTTTCTGCAAGAATCATGTTTTATCTGAGCTGACAAGGAAAATTTAAATAACACGATTTCTAATCGGCCGACGTTGTTATCAGCTGCGAGCAATTAAATATACTAAAAGTTACAGCTTTGCATAATTTTCAGCCAATAATTGGAAGAAGTCCGGCTCTTTTTATATCCTTCAAGCAGCTTGATTCTACGTCAATCGATTTCGATATTTTTTGTCTAGTAAATAAATTTTCCGAACATCCGAAAGAGATTCCAGTCATTTTGGTTCGATTTAAAAAAACATTTACTATGTTTTCAAAGATTTCTGAATATCGACGTTACTCATTGCAGATAAACGGCAAATTTTATGCACTAATTACTATGCAAGGTCGGTTAAACTGTTGCCTGAGGAAAACTTGTCGAGAAATGATAATTACATGAATAGAAATGATACAAATGATAATTACTGCGGATCTTTATACAAAATAAAAATTGTCTAAATTAGTTATAACAAATATAGTTTAGATGATAATGTCTTTCTTTTCTTAACGATTGTAATATGTACGTCGAAATTAATTCAATAATACCGTTAAATTCTTGTAATTATTTTTAGTTTCGCATTCGACCTATTCATCTTCGTCGTAAACGCATAAAAAATCAAGAGATTTCTATGTTTCGTTCCCACAAAATTATATATATTTTCTCAATATTATATACGTCCGAAGAAACATATTGTTCGATCAAATGTTTAATAATTTTTATATCTGCAATTTGGACAATCGCAACTCGGAGAGCCTGCAGCTTCACGGCGTTCGAATAAGATTGCAGACCATGCCCGTCGGATTTAAAAATACTGCAATCCAACGGTGACATTTGAAGCTTGTCTGAGTTCGAAAAATGTGCTCGTAAGCATTGATCGCCAGCGCGGCAACAAACGAAGTGCACTCGGTCGGTTCCGTTCGCCCGGAAATGCGATACTTTCAATGAATCCTTTGGAGCCGGGGCTTTTGCAGCATTCGCAAATGGCAGAAAACTGCGGGTTCAGCGCGCAGAAACGGCGAACGAAATAAGAGGATCTTCTCGAGCGAGATTAGCTTGAGCTTAATTGAACCCAGCTTCTCTTCTGTCCGATTAACTTCCTTTCGGATCGAGTTACGAACGTTTTAACGTAATCGATAGCGCGGCCTACGGTTATAGAAGCGTGTCTAAGTATTTCATAAGAAAACCGGGATCCAGGTCACACCGGAGACGAGAGACAGTCGTGTGGCTCCGCTCGGTTTTAGTCTGATTAAAATTGATGCGGGATCGTATAATTCAATATTTATTCCGTGCTCGCGACGGCCGGCTATTCTAGTTTCAATTATGAAATTCGCCAACGTTTCCGTCGCTTTTATAATCGTCTCGATGGCCGCGATGCATGTTTGTTTTGCTCGGTTTTCAAACGCTTCGCTCCGAGCACCGACTATCGATTAATAGGTCCTCACTGTATCCGATCGTCTCGGGGATAACATTTCCCGCGACTCATTAGCATCGCTCGATCGCGCTAGGGAACGATAAGAATGACGTGGCGACCGCGAGTGTTCGAATCCGAGCTCGATAACGAACGGGCAATGTCCGTATTATTATAAAATTCATTTGCGATACTACAGGGAATCACATATTGCGCGATTGATATTACAGATATCGTTCAAATGTCTGAAACGTCTGATGGATTTATATCTCAATGAGTAAACGAAGCGGACGTATTTTCCGCTTTTGAGATATGTCACGGATTAAAGCTCAGGGTAGCACTTTAATTACAGCAGAGAGATAATTGTCGAGGCGAAGAATAAAATAAACGCGAACCAGTAATTCTACCGAATGTTGTTGCTAAGATAAACTACGGTGTTCGAGTAATTATCGTATTTTTCTGAATATTTTTGAACAGTTCGAAAAGGATTCGTAAGGATTAATTAAAGGATTTTTATATATTTCTTTTCTGCAATATCTATTCAAACGACTGTTTAGGAAAGATACTGCATAAATAAAATGGCTCTAGAGAACACCTATAATTTTATATATTTCCAAAAAGCAGTATTATGTGGACGGTTGTTGACGGTTGTTTGAATTACAGGAATCGTGTTCAACGTGACACGTTACATGGACTTCCATCCAGGAGGGACCAGCGAATTGATGAGGGGCGTGGGCAAAGATGCGACGAAACTGTTCGAAAACGTGAGTCCGGCTGGTTCGGGGTCAGCACTCGATCAATTGAAGGAGCTCTTTGGAGCGAGGCGCTCGGAGCTGTTGTCCGAATCGCTATAATTGAGTCGGACTCGATTGGCCGCTGAAGGCCGCTTTCCCAACACCGTTTATGTCTAATTTCGGGGCCTAATTGGCCACGTTCGTGCACAGGGGAGTGCGCAGGCCGCATGGTCGACGGGACTCGGAATTGAGAAAGTTTTGTCATGCTAATAAATTCAATGGTTCCGATGCTGATAAGAAATTGGAAATGCGAGATTCCTGCGTTGGTCTAGGGAGATGCGCTCGAAAATGTTTCCTAATTAAATTTGATCTCTCTAGATGTAGATCAAGGTATCTAATCGCTGACTATTTCATCTTAACACATTATTTACCGGAAGCTTTCGAATAGGCTTTTCAATGATTAAACTATGCCTAAAAGAAGCTTGATAATTTTCTTTTAACACGTTAAGTGCCGAATGTCAACTCCAAAAATTCTTACAACATCGATGTCATGTAATTGAGAAACTAGGAATTTGAAAGCTAAATTTACCACAAGAAATATTAGTTTAACTTTTCGGTGTTTCGAACATGCTGATAACGTTCAGTTTATTCAATATATTACGATAAAAATTAGTGTCACACACATGTGACCGTCGTGGCACTCAACGTGTTAAATAATAATTTTAAAAGAACTTATTACATTATATTTATCTAAATAACACTAAACCTACCGAGTCCAAAAATTAACTAACGTGTATTGCTTTATAAAGATGAAAAAACAGCACTTAACTGTTGATCTTGTTTAAAACTATTATGAGTAAACTGCCGGTAGATAAAGTGTTAATTAAAACTTGAAGAGAGAGAAGTCTTCGCTACGCTGATTTGTGCAACTTACTATAATTAAAAAATTTTAAAGTACGCGCTTGGATCGCCTCGGCCGAAAGAGCTCGATCTATCCCCGGAGATCGATGATTATTTTCACGTACCCATAGATCGTTCGTTGCAGGTTCACGCTTGGGTCAACTACCAGAGCATCCTTCAGAAATGCGTGGTTGGAAGGTTGAGCCGTGGATCCATCAGCGGCCCATCATCGTCACCTCCAGAAAACACATCTCCGGGAACAACGGATTGCGCGTCCGCTGCCCTAGACTTAATTAAAAGCTGTACGAGTAAGTAATTCACTAGTGATCGCCTGAGTAAGCAAACACTAGACGTCGGTAATAATCGACAATTCTTCATTGTGTTTCAGCAGGTAGCAACAGCCAAGAAAGTGTCTCCGAAAACAGTCCTGCGAACGCTAAAATGGACTGGAGACAGACCTTGGATGCAATTACACTGTTCTATCAGACAGTGAAGGATTATCCTAGCGTTTATTACCAGGTGAGAAGAATAAGCGACTCGAAGCTGGTCTTCAAGCTATTCTTCGAGAAGGACGTGGTCACACATGAGTTAGAACTTGCAGCCCCAATAGAATGGCCGCCGGTTTGCAAAAGGAACTTTGAGACCACCGAGGTTAGACTCCATTTCTGGTTTTCTTAACTGAAATTTTGTACTTTGACTGTACATGATTTAATCGATGGAACGATTGCAGGTGGATTTCACGTTTACCAAGAAGACAAAGGAGCTGTGGAAGACGCAGGGTAGTCACACAATATGGCGGGAGCGAAACACTAGCAACCGGTCGTACAAAGAGTACGAAGTAGTCTCTAATACACCACTTTCCAAGTTAGTCCATTTGTTGGTTCTACGAGCGAAGGACTCGTTGGAACTAGTGCCCATTGGGAAACACATACAGGCCAGGATGAACGTGATGGGTCAGCTGTTCTTCTTTCTTACGCTTTATTATCGATTTAAAGAGCGATTCGAGTGTCTTGTTTGTAGCTAAACTTGACTATTTTGCTGCAGGGGTGGAAATAACGCGATCGTACACCCCCGTCCCACCGTGCCTTCACCCTGACGACATGGCGCCGAGTTACGAGTCTGACTGCGTGTGTCTGATGATCAAGAAATACCAGAACGGCGCGCTGAGTCCGTCCATAACCGGCCTACAAGCCGGTCAGACCCTTGTGCTAAGCAATGCTTTAGGTGCCTTTGTAGTTGAATCGTTTGATCGTTATTCTGTCATTCACATGCTAGCTGGCGGCACTGGGCTGACCGCGATGCTTGGGATCATTCAGCGGGCTTTGGCCAAGCGTACTGTGTTAGTATTATTTATTGAAACGTTCTTGGTTAAACTAGGCCGGGTCACTTTTTGACTATACTTCTTGTAATCCTTGTCTCAATACCCTGAATTGTCCAGTGAACACAGTTTTCATTTATTTCACAGGAAAACTATCAATCTCCTCAACTTCAACAAAGATGAGGACAACATGTTCTACGTGGAGCAGCTAGAAAAAGCTAGCACGAATACGAAGTATGTACATCGAAGTCTCGTCCAGAGTAATTTTATTTAACGTCGTTTATTGAGATGGATAATTCTCAGGTTGACAGTGATGCATATTCTTTCACAAGCGGATAGTAAATGGACGGGCACACGCGGCGTCGTGTCTGACAACTTATTGAAGCAGATGGTTGGACAACAGAATCCTGAAGCGTGTATCTTCACATGTGGTCCACGTGGATTCATTCAGGCAGTGACCAAGTAAGTGATTTTGTCTTTTGAATTAGGTAACCAATGTGTTTTCCTTTCAGTGTTAGTGATAAAAGATACTTTTGATTATTTTTAGATCCATACAGAACCTTGGCTGGAAACCCTACCAAACGTATAATTTCGACGATTAGCCGTCTTCAGCGAAAGTATAACCTCCCCTTTTGATACCGAAACTCTGATAGTCGAGCTTTGATTCAAGGAAACAATGATACCGCCGGGTTCTCGAGCGAGAGATACCCTTTTTGGATACTTTTACTCCTATTTCCGCCCACAGTGTCAGTAACCGGTGTGTATCAACCGAGAACGAGCAGTCTAGAACTAAATCGTCATCTTATTTTATCTATTTTTCCAAAAAAACAAAAGAAACAAAGAAATATTCTTCAAAGTCTCAAGTGTAACTCGAGTACGATTTTAAGATCTCTACTTTTTTCTCGAATCTGAATTCGTAGAGGAATACAGATCTTCTATGTTCTTCTAGCAACATATCCGAATTGCATTTGGTCAGGTTGAATCATGCTGGACAGATTAGATATTCTTAATAATCAGACAAAGATCTCAAGAACTTAAAGATTTGTTGAACATCCGTTCTGTCCAATTGCATCACCTGCACCAAATTACTCCATACACATTTCTATGCGATAATTCTGTGACTATAAAAAAAAACGCCGCAAGTCACAATTTCAAAAAATTTTAGTTAATACATTAATTGATCTGTAGCATATAGGACTTACGTACTTATCAGAAAGAAATCACGAAAACAAATTCGATAAGCTCACAAAAATTATGCAATTTGAAAAACTACTAATATCAAGCACTTATGATCGGAACTTTAAGCGACAATATCACGAAAGTGAAACATATGACATGCGGCACTCTTCCTTGCAACCACAGAATTTCTTGCAACCGTTGCTCGAAAGTATTTGGTTAGCCGCTCTATAAAAAACGAATTAGGTTTTTTCTGCAAAAGATGCGACTGATGAAAGTTTGTGTATACGGTGATTTTTATTTATTCTTCTCATGAATATCCTGAGCAACCAATCACGTTCGAGCAGCAGCGTATGCATCACATTTTGTATCATATCTAGCGAACGTGACGAAAGAATAGGAGTAAGGGTCTTTAGATGAAAGTCATAGGTTCTACAGAGGTATACAGCTCGTAACGACAAATTATTTTTTATGGGAATTGTAATTTTAACACTGTATCCGCGCTATACACTTCGTGGAGAGCTGTATTTTTAGCGATTTATCCGAGAACGTATATATTTGAGAAAAAAAGCAGGCCGAATTGAAACATTGGTGCTATCCTTTTTCGAGAAGACAAATGTTTTTCGTTTACACGTTAACAAACCAACATTGTGATTGTAAGCGTATTTTCGGATCGATGTGCTTTGTTTTGCAAATTACGAGTACAAAAGGTGAGAAACGGTTGAGCATGTTTTACAGGAACGTTGAATGTTGTTTCGCGAGAGTTGTAGGTAGAATCTTGGATGTCCTGCTGTTACGAAAATAAATTTCTGGTGCCAAAGTGAATGTGTAGAAGATCGAATCGATCGATTAGAAACGCGAACAACAGTGTGGCCTAATATAGGAGAAGCTCTCAGAATACACTAAATAGAAGCCTGTGGCATCGATCATCTGAATTTTTATCGGTTTCTTCGACACGGAGCAAGCAACTTACTTAGGCGAAGTTGTAGATAGAAAGCAACGATTTAGCTCGCCAAGAAATTTTACTCGTGGAAATATATATATATTGATTTGTATATTCGATCGCGGGTAAGTTTCGCAGCTCCAGACATTTTCGGTTGAAGACGGTCGTAATTCAGTATAGAGAGTTTATTTCTTCTCGTGAAACACGGTTCTTTGGAATTCTTATTCGAGTATGGACCACTTTCTGCATTTACGTACGAGTTAATACGCGTATATGTGTATGTATATGTGTGTACATAGTTGTTACCAGAAATAAATGAATATTTGATGGCTCCACACTTCACATTTACTTACACATACTGGCGAATGTATTTGGAGTCAAAACTTTGACTGTACCTTTTAAATTGTAATTTAAAGAATTCCTATATGGAAAATATGAAATCTGTAAATTTCGAAGTTGAACAAATATCCTGATGATACAGAAATGACAGCGCTAAATGATGCAGTGGCAAAACGCTCAAACTGTTAGCCAAAATCGACTGTTAGTAATTTGGCGCTCTACGGACCCCGAATCGAGCTTCACTTTTTCTCCTCAAGAGGCGCCATTTGTCCAAATAGCGTCGTTTTCAAGGACAGATGATACGTTTCGAATTTAATATTCTATCTTACGGCGGAATTCTATACATTTGCGATAACAAATAAACGTAGATGGTTCAGGTTAGGTGGAACATTTCAGGTAGTAGACTATTTGGTTTCCCTTTTACACTACTCTAGGCTCTAAAAGGCTGTTAGGAAATTATACGTCACGCGTTCGTTACAGCCTGATTCTACACCTCCGGATCGATGGAGATTTCATAAAAAAAATTTACCGAAGAACTGACCCTGAGCACAATTTTCAAGATCAAATTCTTTTATATTAATATAACGTTGTCCCAGGTCTGCTAAATTTGTAACCATCAAAGTTTCGCGGAACACTCGTTGTCACTTCCACCGTTCGAACACTGGCGCCATGACCAACCGCGAACAGCTTGAACCTATCCCCTCAGATGTCGCCACGCAAGCCTCAAATCGCACTTCCTTCAAAAAGTGGTAAAAACGTCAGAACAACGAAGTTCAGCAAAAATGAAAAAACGCTGCGTTAAAATCGGATCAATTCCAAACCGAGTTTTCTAATACTTCTTAAAACCTCTTTCAACTGTTGAACCACATTATAGAGACCCAGCAACGCGTGTCGCCATGATCCGGTGTCATAAAACTTTCACGGTTTCGGTGCTATTGCAAGACAATTCTCTCCCGATCGAGGTAACAACGCTCGCGACTTTCGCGGTTCGAAACCTACAGCTGGCCCGCACCGCCAATGGTCACGCTTGTAATTCGAGTTGCCGCCCTTCTCCCACCGGTTAGTTCGAGCGCGTGCCGCGGCGTGCGGCAGCGCTGCGATAGTAGCAGCTGATCCGTAGTGCGGTGAGGAGCAGTCGTGTTCGTGCCGCGTTTCCCAGTGTGTTCGTGCCGGTAACGCGTAACACTGTGGTCTGCTCCTCGCACCAGGTGCGATCCCCGGTGGTTGGTTCAGGGCTGGTGACAAGTGGCAGTCCCGGAGCGCGGTGCTCGGTCGATCCGTCGACGGACACGTTGCGACACGGTGAAAGGTGAAGAGGAGCGACGAGAGCAGGTCCGTGGAGAGCTTGAGCAGGCCGAGAGAAGAGAGGATCTCAGTGTGGCACAGCGCGCGTCCATCGCGAACTAATTCTCCGTAAGTTTTTACCGTGCACTTATTCTCTGGTCGCTCGCGTGTTCTCCGCGCGGTTCGGTCCTCCGGGTACCCGTGAAACTTCGCCGGTCGGCGACACGTGCCCCGAGAACTCGGTCCCGAGAATCGACGTGCAAAGCGCACACGTGAGACTCTTCCGAGGTGACTGACACCTGATGCGTCAATGACCACGCCGCGCGTACCAGTCGCGTGTACTTCGGCCAGTCTCGTAGGACTCCGATCGCCGCGCTTTACGAGAATCGTGAACGCGATCGCACGCGTGTCAGCTGGACGCGCGGAGCCACGATAATCGCGGGCCGAAATCTCGGATCACGAGAGCGACGGTAAACGGGCCGCGACGCTAGGTTATGTCACGCGGATGCCGCCGGTGGATTTTTTTTGTTTTTGCTCGTGGGACTGGCGGGAGTGGCGAGTCGCATCCCACGACAGACATTCTCCTAATACGTAAGTACGCACATATGTGATTAACGGGACGCGGCTTAAATCATCGTTTCTCTCGGAACAGTGGTACTCATCTCGCTGATTATCGCGAAACAATTCTATGTCTCCGGCGTACATATGTGCATATAACTGTTCTCTTCGTTCTCGCGTATGCGGTGGATCTCTCTCCAGCTCGTAATCTTGTTCGTGCTGTGCACGTTCAAGGTCACCGTGCAGACTCGCGCGAGTTGCGTTATATATGATATACCGGTATATATTGACTCATTGACTGGTCGCCTGTCTCAGGCCACCGACGGCCGATACGCGGAACAGGGTCGCTTCTGACCCATATAGAATTCCTTGAAAGGTCACGGAATGAACTTTGTCGGAACTCCGAAGAAATTTCTTTAATACCAGCGTTTGCTCGTTACATGGGGATTTAGCGTGTTAAATGGTACGATAAGTATGTAGGTCGCGCGCTGTTTGAACTATTACCGTAGCACTCGAAGGCCGAGAAGCGTCTTCGAATTGTATCGGACACTTTTGCTGATTAGTTGTTGTCCCCTTAACCTTTCGACCGAGGGGAGACGAGTAAACTCGTCGTTCGTGTTTGACTGCATCTTTCAGTAACCTTTACGATTTTTCATTCATTCAATTTATCCTTGGTCGCCTTAGTCGATGCGAAATTTCTTCTGCTACTTTCGCACTTGTCACCGTGTTTACTTTTTGTTTACGTTTCGCTTTGTGAATATTTTGCTGGTTTCAAGTTTATTATTGCTGTCTGCAATTTAAAGTATACAATTGAAACTGTCATCTCCCTGTTGATGTATTTTTCTAGGTTCTGATTTCACTTTGGTGGTCATTATACGCATTTGTTTCCGACGAAAAAGTATTTATGTATGCTTGCAGTGGATCAAAATAAATTCAAAGTAAAACTAAGACCATGCGAATAATATTAATTGGGATACGGTGACATAACTTTTACTATTTATCAAATTTAGGAGATTTGTAAATTTGTAAATTTTACATATATAAATAAAAATGTACACCCCCTTTTACAGGGGGTGCTTGCAGTGGTTCAAAATAAATCCAAAGTAAAACTAAGACCATGCAAATAATATTGATTGGAATACAGTAACACATAACTTTTACTATTTATCAAATTTAGGAGATTTGTAAATTTGTAAATTTTACATATATAAATAAAAATGTACACCCCCTTTTACAGGGGGTGCTTGCAGTGGTTCAAAATAAATCCAAAGTAAAACTAAGACCATGCAAATAATATTGATTGGAATACAGTAACACATAACTTTTACTATTTATCAAATTTAGGAGATTTGTAAATTTGTAAATTTTACATATAGAAATAAGAATGTACACCCCCCTTTACGGGGGGTGAAAAGGGAGCGAAATGAACATTTTACTACTACCACTTATCTCAAATCTGCGTATAGAAATATTTAATCAAGTAGAAACTGTTTTAACAATGAGATCAGTCAGGTCCCATTAGATTCGTGGTTATATTATATTCATTCATTATATTATATCATTATATATATTATATATCATTATATTATATTCATGGTTATATACGCAAGGTTTACGACTATCAAAAAGTATTTATATTTGCACTGTTCAAAATAAATTCGAACTAAAGCCAACGTAATACAAATAACATAAATCGGAGCACTGTGATTTCGCTTTGATTACTGTTTAGCAAATCCACGTACAGAGACATTTTGACAAGTAGAAATTGTTTTAACAGTGAGATCGCTCGGGTTCCATTAGATAAACAAGCCGTTTATTTTGAAAGTGGCATAAGTCACTTCACCGTAATGAGAAGTGGTGATTTTTTAATGTTTATACGAAATTATTTGTACTGAGAAAAACACCAGTATCCTGAGATAACAAATACAAGTAAATCTTCTCGAAAGTTAGCATCCATATTTTGAAACGTGTTAAAACGCAAACCCTTAAATATATCGACTTAAAAACAAAGTGACTTATGCCACTTTCAAAATAAACGGTTCAAACAGCTACTAGACCAACGGCATAGGTTTACGGCTCTGTATCCGGACACCTGTAATTAGCGTAAACGACGCAGCATTCATCAGCACGTAGCAGAATTCGTAGATCAGTTTCCTTCGCCCTCGGTCTTCGAGGATATGCGATCGAAAAATCAATCGGTTAAAAGATTTCACTTGCTCTTGCAAAGGTCACGAGTGCATTGTCTGCGGCGCGCGCCGGTATGCACTGTATAGGGCAAAACAGAATGTCAGTCGAATGTTTTTGCGGGTCTCGTTGATGGCGGACACGATCAGGTGTCCCGGATTAGCGACGATAATTCTGCCTGTCAAATATTTGCCTGACGTGTGTTTGCATTTTTATCGGCGTGGACGCGGTCGCGTTTCAAAATCCTGTTATTCCATATTCCATGTTTGTGGAAGGTCGTATTTCTGGTACCGGAACACAGGGGGGTGTCTTATTATTAGACTATTCGTTCTCTGAATCAATTGGACGGATCTGACTCGTGATGACAATTTTTAGTAACATCCTGTAAAATAGGAATGTGTATTCCGGTGATTTAAGAGGGAATACAAAATTCTGTTTTTTATTTTTAGTCAATATTTTTATTATATAAAATATATGTTATAATATAATAATATAATATAATATATTATAAATATAATAAATTATATTAACTAAATATAATATATTATAAATATAATAAATTATATTAACTAAATATAATATATTATAAATATAATAAATTATATTAACTAAATATAATATATTATAANATTATATTTAGTCAATATTTATTCAATTATTTTTATTTTGTCAATAAAGACTAAATCTAACGTTGTTCTATAAGAATGACAACACAGAATTTATTTAGAAATTTCACCACTTCTATTATAAAATAAAAAGTTTCTTTATCACTGAGAGTTTCTTTCTTTCTTTAATCATCTTAGTAAGTTGAAAATAATACATAGACAATGTTAAATTTTCAAAATTTTCGTCTTAAATTTCGTCTACTTAATTTTTACAATAAATTCGCAGTCTAATTGCTTTAGTTAAGAGAAATTTATTCGATCATTTTCTGTGAAAGAATCGTTGCGATCTCAACAATTTTATAATGAGCAATCTGAAACCGCTTAAAATGACCGGTATACTAGGTTTAGCGTTAATAACTCAAGGAAATGTTGAAATGAATAAGTTAAATACGAAACTGTAAATGCACTAGAATCTAACTTCTGTTTCTTGCAATTGATTTCGACAATTTTTATTTAACATAAGACTTACCGAGCCTTAAACGTGACCAATGTTTATTATTTTATAACAGTGGCAAGATTAGATATATTTAAACTTATGTACGATTTCTATTATAATAAATGCTTTAATAAACAAGTTCTTCTAAAAATTTCTCATTGGAACATTTTTATAATATCAAGAATTGCAAAAGAGAAAATGAAAAATCAGTCATTTTGACTGATTTGGTAATTCTAGTGTTAAAGATCCGGAATCTGCATGTTAATGACAATTGCTGGAGTTCATGCAAGCGAATGTTTAATTTGTTGAAATATGAATCGAACCAAGTTCTGGTACAATTAAACTGTATTCAATCTTTTATTGAAGTAAATCTTTTGCTGACCGGAATTAGTCCGCGCCTAGTGCAATTGTTCTTGCACCGCCATACCCGTTCTAAATAATAAAGAGCAGGTCTGACGAGAAAAGTATCGCAGTTGTTAAAGCGGCAGTATAATCGCGAACAAATTGAAACGAAGAAAACGATTGAATGGCTCGGTAAATGTTACGCAATCGAACAAAGATTATGCATAAAATCGATTCGCTTTTTACAATCTAATTTATGCCGTAACCGTGACAGAATTAGATCGAGACATTTTCTGAATATTGGAATCAATATTGGTCCGATAACGAGAACCTCGCGTTTCAAAATAGCAAAGTTGCGCGATACTTGCACTCGGCCAGCGGTAAACACGGAATACCTAATTAGTAGCACGTATCGCGATTTAATCTAAATATTAAATGTAGAACAGGAGTTATAATGTTAAACATTCGAGTGACGCAATGTTCGTACACCGAGAATTCAATTCACCTGCGCATGCATACGTTAATTGGCCGCGTGAATTCGTTATGAATGCACCCTGAAACAGAGCTGGGCATTCTTCGAATAAGTTCTTTGAATAAAATTTAATTCGAAAAATATTTCGAAGAATTCATTGGCATGAAATATCGTTCCAAATATTTCTGCGATAAAATTGTATTCGAATTGATTCGTAATATTACGCGAATTAAATTCTATTTCAAATATTTTTCGAACAGAATTTTATTCGAAGAATCGATGCGAAATATTTTTTTTATAAAATTTTATATTATATTATTATATTATATTATATTATATTATATTATATTATATTATTTATATTATATTATTTATATTATATTTCGAATAAAATTTTATGTGAGATATTTTTTGAATAAAATTTTACATGAAATATATTTCGAATAAAATTTGATATGAAATATTTTTCGAA